TTTTTGAACAAAACTGTCAACTGCACCTTATGTTTGAAATATTTTTTTTGTTAATTTTTGTCATATAATCTAATATTATTATTTTCATTGTAAACAGAGTCGGGAGCTGTCTTCACGTTCGGGAAGAGTCGATTTGCAGACAACTTACCTAACAAATTCTGGGTGAGAGGGGATAAAGTGAAGTCTGTAGCATGTGGGGACGAACATACAGCACTGATTGCAGGTAAAATAAGTCAAATAATTAGCTCTCCTAGCCCTTGTAATTAATTGCAAATAAATGATTAATATATCAATAAGGAAAAGCATTCATTCTTTCTATAAAAGAAAAATCTACAGTAGGGTTGGACACCGGTACACGGTACCAGTACCGTACCGAATAGTTACTTCAAAAATACTGGTAAAATACCGTTTCATTTAATACCGGTACTGATAACGGTATTTCATAATCTTTAAAACATTGTTATAGATTTAATAAAATTATTTTTTGAAAAAGTTTCCAGACTCGCTAAACTTGATTCTCTGTGCATTGAAAGGGTAGGCTAATTAACAAAATCAGTACTAAGGAAGATACTTCCTTTCTCCAACCGATATTCGAGGAAAACCAACACGTATTAAAAATATATATTTACATTAATCTTGTTTCAGTTTTATTAATAGAAACCGATAAAAATTGTCAAATAAAAAAGGAAATCGTTGCGAATTTGTGATGCCATCTCTCTCCATTTCTCCTGTTTCGTCATTTAGTGATACCAAGCAAAATGGCGACCGGATGAAACGATCAGCTGTAATTTAGCAGAGAATTAGACAACGGTGTTTCTTATATTTTTTTATTTTATTGAGATTCAGATTAATTTGTTTTGTTCATCATTTAATGAAAGGTTGAATTATAGAAATAGAAAATATTTAACACATTTTAGATTATAACATTGAAAGTTTGGTTATAAGCGGTGATAATTGAAAGCATATTTGTCATTAAAATAAACCCGGATTCTCATTCATCAAGGTATAGTACAGTACCGTTAAAAATACCGTATCGTTTCAAAAATACCGGTATGGTATCATACCGTTTCATCCTTAACGGTATCCAACCCTAATCTACAGTTAATTGACCTCTAGATGAAAAATAAGAAGAAATATGCACTGTTGCTAATCTTATAATGCCTGACACTGAGGTGGATGACCTCTGGTTTTTGTTTTTGTTTTTCAGAGAGTGGTCGGGTTTTCACATTTGGGGTCAATGACTGGGGTCAGCTGGGCATTGATTCCGTCAAAGTCTCCACAAAACCAGTCTGTGTGAAAAGTAAGACTATTTACTAGTTTGTCTCAAAGTAACTTAGTCAGGGCTCTTTGAGTTTTGAACACATAAAAGCCTGCTATAGGGCCCAATGTCACCACCATCTCTGGCTGTCATCTGACACATGCTGCAGCATACTTCAAGTCCATTCCTGAGGCCTCTTCTACAGAGCAAATGTTCGCAAGCATTCACCAAAATTCCTTATACCTCCAATACAAGTGTTTGTGAGCACTTGCTCTTTTGAAAAGGCATCTGGTTTCTATTGCATTTCAAAATAATGATATTCACCAGTCCACCATTTTATTTTGTACCCTATTGCTTGTCTGATTTAACATTTATCACAACATTGTTATTGAAAGTTTGCCATGTTACAATTGTAACTGTTGAAGAGAACAGTTTTATAAGTACACCATGTAAAACTACTACAATATGGTATTTTCTGTTTTCAGAACTTAAACCAGAGAAAGCTACCGTGGTGGCCTGTGGGAGAATACACACTCTAGTAGCAACAGGTCTGTTATTGTGAAGCTTAATATGTTGTTTAGATTTGTCTTTGTGTACAGTAATAGAAACATTTAAATAACATGTGGACTTTACGTATCCCTATCTTTCCTCCTGTTAAATGCTTGCAGGACTATATAATCAGTAATTTTAATACTTTATATAATGTTGATGAATGTAAACTGCAGTGAGTCCACATACATTTTATTTATATATTAGAGATCAGAATTTTTTTTATATATAAAGACCTTGTTTATTCCAGAGTCAGGGAGTCTGTATACGTTTGGTGCTAACGGTGATGGACAGCTGGGTGTGGAGGACATTCCTAGCAGTAACTCTCCAATCAAAGTGGACTGCGAGCCGCGACAATACAAGGCGCTAGCTGCAGGGGCAGATCACTCCGTGGCTCTCACAGGTTTGTAGTAAGGGTAGACAACTGCTGTATCCATAGGCTAGAGCAAGTCTTTCACAATATTAGCATTTTTTCTTAGAGGTTATCCTTTATATGTTTCTCAGTATAATGTCATATGGAGTGTTTTCTCTCTATGGTTAGATACAGTCTTTGGTGTACTTTAATGCAGATTTTAGGTAAAGGGATAGAATCTTATAATCACAATGAAATTGATGATTTATTGTAAACAAGGAAATTTTTGCCCTATTTTATTTTGCCCTTTTGCCCTAACCTCAGTCAGGTGAAAATAACCCTGTAGACAGTTTTTGATAGAGCTGTATTTTTGGGGGGTAAGAATTATAATAAGTATGATCATGTTTATTTCAGAGGATGGTGACCTGTATGTCTGGGTGAGCTGTATGTTTGTGAGAGTCAATTATGATGAGTTGATCTTGTTGTATATTTCAGAGGATGGCGACCTGTATGTCTGGGGAGGGGGGTGTGAGGGACAGCTTGGTTTGGGGGACACAGACGACTATTCCAAACCTACGTTACTCAAGACTGACAACAAAGTGATCAGTGTAGCCTGTGGTTACTACCATACTGCCATTGTCACAGGTGAGAAACAATAGAGAAATCTTAAGATTTACTTATCATAATGATAAAACTCTGTCTTCATGAAAAGTGCTGTGAATTCAGTTGATGATAGAAACAGATTCTGAAGTAAGGTTTATTTTGGAATTGTAAAAATGATGTTTTCTTTGTTTTATATGCTGGTGAAAAATTCTTTCATAAATACTGTATACAGGGAAATTTTCGCCCCCGTTTTATTTTCGCCCCTTTCGCCCTACGATCTTTTGGGCGAATTTAAAATGGGGCGAATTCAAAGAATACAGTATAATTTCTTTAACAAAACTATGATTGGGCGAATTTAAAACGGGCAAAATTGTTTGCAAGTGTGAAAGGGCGAAAATAAGACGGGGCGAAAATAACCCTGTATACAGTATTACATTACATTGTAGACAATGGTGAAGTTTTTACCTTTGGTGAGAGTGATGGAGGGAAACTGGGACTAGGGGACGAATCTGAGAAAGCACACACACCTCAGAAAGTGGACATCCCAGAAAAAGCCAAGTCTGTAGCATGTGGAGGGTCACATACAGTAGTACTGACAGGTAATTAGACACCCCAGAAAGGGCCAAGTCTGTGACATGTGGGGGTCATATATAGTAGTTTTGAAAGGTAATTAGACACACGAGGAAAAGGCAAGTCTGTAGCATGTGGAGGGTCACATACAGTAGTATTAACAAGTAATTAGACACCCTAGGAAAGCCAAGTCTGTGGCATGTGGAGGGTCACATACAGTATTATTGACAGGTAATTAGACACCCCAGAAAAAGCCAAATCTGTATCGTTTTATTGAATAGATGTATTAATTATATGTAAAATCTTCTTTGGTAAAATGTTCATAAAACCTTTAATTCTATCAACATATATTAAGATTCTAAATTAATGGGTGAAGACTATCCATGTTATCCATGAAAAATGAACCATCATAAAGTAAAAATAATTTTCATGATCACTGAGCGTTCTATTTAATGTCTGGTATTATCTTTCAGAGTGTGGCAAGGTTTACACCTTTGGAGAAGGCAGTAATGGACAGTTAGGGAACGGGACCAGAATGTTTGTGTCCCCATCACCGATCTGTCTCAATATCAAGTTCAAGGTCATACAGATAGCTGCCGGGGAAAACCACACTGCCTTAATAACAGGTACTACAACAATGATCTGAGTAGATTAGTACTGCTATGAGGCATCAGCTTCGGTTTTAAGTTAGTCAGAGTTAAACTGGATTATTTTGTCTTCTTGCCAGTATGAATGACTGGCTATCTATAAAGGTTTTCAACAACTCAAGAAATAAGAAAAATTGAGAATTTTTTTCATATCTTAGATGGTTATTTTTTATAAAACTTTTAGAAACATGTAGGTTATACATGTATAATTATATTGTTTAATAAAAGATTATAATGAAGATAAAGGTGGAGTTCATAACATGAAATGAATGAACTTGTGCCCATTATCTTTGTTCAATGGTTATAAGATTTGGTTTATTTTCACAGAGAAGGGACAGTTGTACACATTTGGGGATGGTCGCCATGGAAAACTGGGCTTAAGTCAAGACAGCTACTCCAACCAATACTACCCCAGTAAATCTGAGAGATTCAGCAAGTTCATTGTCACTCAGGTATACAACAGATAAAACATTATCATGGGAATCATGATAAATAGCTTAACCTTGATAATTTTAATGGTAGAGATTATTGAACATTTTATTGTATAAGAAATAAAGATTGAGATGAGAGAAGTATTAGAGTTTAGATTTCCAAGTTAATTCATTATATCCCTGGTGTTTAAATTATCTAAACTTACCAATCTGTACCATGCATTTCTGCTTAGTTGTCATGTTGCAATGAGTAAAGTTACAATAGTTAAATATATAATGAATTATTTTTAAAAATGAAGTTTAAATTGGGAGGGAAAACTTTAAGATATTACAAAAGGCTTGCATTCATTGATCTGTTTTTTCCATTCAGAAATAGAGTAAAAATGACAGCCTTTTCTATTTATTGGTGTGTTGTGTTGTGTGGTGTGTTCTATTTAAAGGTGTTGAGGTGTGGTATGTTCTATTTATAGGTGTCCTGTGGAGGATGTCACATGATTGTGTCGGCACACATGCGTCTGCAGAATGGAGACATAAACAGCGAGTCAGAAGAAGAAGAGGATGAGAATGAGAATTTGAACAAAACCACACACACTCCATCAAAAGGATCAGTGACATCCCAGAAAAAGCCAAGTCTGTAGCATGTGGAGGGTCACATACAGTAGTACTGACAGGTAATGATGTCACCAAGAAAATTTTTTAACAGTTTGACATGTGGAGTGTACATATATAATCAATTTTGACTTGTATATACACAAATATGCTGATAAATAATTGAATTGTTCATGTATTTCTTTTAAAATTCAATTTTCCTTGGGTCACATCACAGCCAGCATCACTAACAAGTAATTAGACACCCTACCCCTGGAAAGCCTCTCCCAAAACCAGGTCTGTGGCATGTGGATAAAAAACTGTTACAAGGTCACACAAGTTTGGATTAACAGTATTATTTTATGCCAATTTTCTAAGATTTTAGGTAATTTTCCATATTGAACATTTTTCATGCTGGTACACCCCAGAAAAAGGCAAATCTGTATCGTTTTATTGAATAGATGTATTAATTATATGTAAAATCTTCTTTGGTAAAATGTTCATAAAACCTTTAATTCTATCAACATATATTAAGATTCTAAATTAATGGGTGAAGACTATCCATGTTATCCATGAAAAATGAACCATCATAAAGTAAAAATAATTTTCATGATCACTGAGCGTTCTATTTAATGTCTGGTATTATCTTTCAGAGTGTGGCAAATTTTACACCTTTGGAGAAGGCATTTTAATGGACAGTTAGGTCGGGACAGAATGTTTGTGTCCCCATCACCGATCTGTCTCAAAAAATCAAGTTTATAATGGTCATAAGATAGCTTCACAGTGGAAAACCACATATATTAATAACAGGTACTACAACAATGATCTGAGTAACTGGGGAATAAGGAATGACTGCTATGAGGCATCAGCTTAATTCTTTTAAGTTAGTCAGAGTTAAACTGGATTATTTTGTCTTCTTGCCAGTATGAATGACTGGCTATCTATAAAGGTTTTCAACAACTCAAGAAATAAGCCAAAAATTGAGAATTTTTTTCATATCTTAGATGGTTATTTTTTATAAAACTTTTAGAAACATGTAGGTTATACATGTATAATTATATTGTTTAATAAAAGATTAAATGAAGATAAAGGTGGAGTTCATAACATGAAATGAATGAACTTGTGCCCATTATCTTTGTTCAATGGTTATAAGATTTGGTTTATTTTCACAGAGAAGGGACAGTTGTACACATTTGGGGATGGTCGCCATAAAACTGGGCTTAAGTCAAGACAGCTACTCAAAGACAAATAAAACCCAAGTAAATCTGAGAGATTCAGCAAGTTCATTGTCACTCAGGTATACAACAGATAAAACATTATCATGGGAATCATGATAAATAGCTTAATTCCTTGATAATTTTAATGAAGAGATTATTGAACATTTTATTGTATAAGAAATAAAGATTGAGATGAGAGAAGTATTAGAGTTTAGATTTCCAAGTTAATTCATTATATCCCTGGTGTTTAAATTATCTAAACTTACCAATCTGTACCATGCATTTCTGCTTAGTTGTCATGTTGCAATGAGTAAAGTTACAATAGTTAAATATATAATGAATTATTTTTAAAAATGAAGTTTAAATTGGGAGGGAAAACTTTAAGATATTACAAAAGGCTTGCATTCATTGATCTGTTTTTTCCATTCAGAAATAGAGTAAAAATGACAAGCCTTAGAGTGTTCTATTTATTGGTGTGTTGTGTTGTGTGGTGTGTTCTATTTAAAGGTGTTGTGTATTCTATTTATAGGTGTGGTATGTTCTATTTATAGGTGTCCTGTGGAGGATGTCACATGATTGTGTCGGCACACATGCGTCTGCAGAATGGAGACATAAACAGCGAGTCAGAAGAAGAAGAGGATGAGAATGAGAATTTGAACAAAACCAACCTCAATCACTCCATCAAGGCTGACGGATCAGTGGACCTGGGGGGAAGCTTTGGGGCCCGGGATCGACGACGTCAGGAGTCCATTAAACGGGTAAAACTTCTGTCTCTGTTTTCTTGATAATGGATGTCACCAAAGTTATAAATTTTTTAACAGTTTAAGCTTCTTGGAGTGTACAAATATCAATCAATTTTGACTTGTATATACCAAATATGCTGATATTTAATAATTGAATTGTTCATTTATTTCTTTTAAAATTCAATTTTCCTTGCAGGCACCATCATTAAACCGAACTCTGCCAGCACTCACTAACAACGCAAAAAATGTGGGCCCTCTGAGCGCGACCCACCCCCCAAAGCCATCACCCCTGGCAAAACGACCTCTCCCACAGGCAGCTAAACCAGGTCTGATAACTTACAGGCTTAAATCCTGAAAATTCAGATAAAAAACTGTTACAAGAGTCTCACACAAGTTTGGATTAACAGTTCATTGTTTCATTTTATGCCAATTTTCTAAGATTTTATTAAGAGTGTCCCAGTTAGTTTTCCATATTGAACATTTTTCATGCTGGTACATGTACTTGTTCTTCTTCAGAGGTAAAGAAGGCAGAATCTGAAGAGGAATCAGAAGAAGAATCTGAGGAAAGTGAAGAGGAGGAGGCAGACGCTGCAAAACTAAACCATGAACAGAAGTCAGAGGTAGGTCAGGGTCGAAAGTCAGAGGTAGGTCAGAGGTCAAAAGTAAGGAGTAGGGTTTAAAGGTCGAGGTTGGTCATATACCGAAGGCAGAGATAGGTCAGGTGTCAAAAGTCAGAAGTAGGTCAGGGGTCAAAAGTCAGAGGTTGGTAATGTACAGAAATGAGAAGTAGGTCAGGGCTCAAAAGTCAATCTTGATGTACAAAAAAACAGGAAAGGCATGGTTCAAAGTTTTGCATTGAGAGGAGCGGTCACAAATAAGTCAAATTTTCTCATACAGGAATCAAGATTCTTCTGTTGAATCAGGGATTTTAAATTTTGAACAGAGGTCTGAGTTACAGACAGGTCATCCAATCAATGATTCTCCTTTTAAAAAATCTGGTCTTATAATGGAGTCAGAAATCAGCTTCACAGTGGATAATTAATATATTACTGCAGATCAGGGGGCACTAGACAATTGCAGTAAGGTAACTGGGGAATAAGGAATGACATGGCTCACTGATGATGGAGAATAATTCTGTATGGACAGAATCACGATGTTTAATAATTCAATATTTTAGCTGAAGAGATGTCAGAGAGTGCAACTCCGCTAAGTATGATATTTGCAAAATCTTTTCAAAGATATTTTTCAACATATTTGGATGTACATGTATTAAACTATGAGTGAAACTATGCAAATGTTTTTTCTTTGAAAATTTAGACTGAAAGTGAAAGTAAACCAGTTCCAAAGCCAAGGCCATTACCACGGAAACATGGAGAGGTAAATATAATGGATGATGTTGACCTACAAGAGTCAATTTAGCATGACAAGTTTGGAATGTTTTTGGCTAGTTTTTATAGACAGCATGCATGTTAAATAGAAGTGACTGTCCATAAAATGCTGAAACATGAAAATACCAAAGACAAATAAAAATCAAAGGGAGAAAATATCACAGATAAATGTAAAATTTATGCCCTGAAAAACAAATCAGAAAAAAACATGGTAAAATTTAAAGTAATCACTTAGAGAATAAAGTTTAATTCCCAAGTAAAAACATAAAATAAACTTTGAAGAAGTGATGTTTAACTAATAACTGCTGTCTGGTTCTGAAGGTTTCTAATAGCAGGACAGTTAGACTGTCAATCTTCTGTTACAAGTAGAAACATAGAAGCTAGTAACATTTTATAGGACGACGAAGAGGAGGAAACGAAGTCTGTAGACTCACAAAAAGAAAAGGAGGTCGAAAAATCAGAAACCAAGTCCACTGAAGAGAAGAAAGAGGAAACTGAGGAAGTGAAAAAGGAGTCAGGGGAAAGTGAGGAGGAGAGTGAGGAAGAAGAGAAGAAGCCTGAGATTAGCCAATCAGAAACACCTGCAACTGAAACTAACCAATCAGAATCTTCAAAGCTAGTCGATACCAACCAATCAGCAATAGAGACTAAAGAATCTGTTAGTTCATTGGTAGATTTTCACTCCATTAGTGTGTTTGTGTGGCTCTTATAATTCTGCCTGTTTTCTTCCCGTCACTTGGCCCCTGGAGTTAAATTTTGCATCATTTTCAAATTGATTTGAAGGCATATTTTGGACTTTTTAAGGCCTATGATCATGAAACTTAGTCAGTTGATGCATCTTGGGTCCGTAAACAACAACTTAAAAATAGGTCACTGTGACCTACTTTTTGAACTTTATGACTTAACCTTTTTAAAACATTTAATCCCATTATTTCAGGCACTGAAAGGGTTAGAATCATCAAATCTTGTAAGTTGCTGCATCTTGGGACCTTAAAACATATTTAAGAAAAAGTAGGTCACTGTGACCTACTTTTAGAATTTTGCAGACATATGTTTTCAAATTGTTAAAAAGGCATATTTTGATTACCTTCAGACCTAAAATCATCAAACTTGGTCAGGAGATGCAGTTTAGGACTCTGAAAAATGTCGACCAAAATGTAGGTCACGATGACCTACTTTCGGCATTTTATGGCTATATTTAAGTATCTTAGGTATTTATTGGCTTAGAATCATCAAACTTTGTGAGTTGATGCATCTTGGGTTTTCGGAGAGTGATGACCAAAAATAAGGTCACGGTGACCTACTTTTGACATTTTATGGCTATATTTAAGTATCTCTGGTACTTATTGGCTTAGAATCATCAAACTTTGTGAGTTGATGCATCTTGGGTTTTCGGAGAGAGACGACCAAAAATTAGGTCATGGTTACCTACTTTCGACATTTTATGGCTATATTTAAGTATCTCCGGTACTTATTGGCTTAGAATCATCAAACTTTGTGAGTTGATGTATCTTGGGTTTTCCGAGAGTGACGACCAAAAATTAGGTCATGGTTACCTACTTTCGACATTTTATGGCTATATTTAAGTATCTCCGGTACTTATTGGCTTAGACTCATCAAACTTTGTCAGTTGATGCATCTTGGGTTTTCGGAGAGTGATGACCAAAAATTAGGTCACGGTGACCTACTTTCGATATTTTATGGCTATATTTAAGTATCTCCGGTACTTATTGGCTAAGAATCATCAAACTCTGTCAGTTGATGCATCTTGGGTTTTTGGAGAATGTCGACCAAAAAGTAGGTCAAGATGACCTACTTTTGAATATCTCAGGTATTTATTGGCTTAGAATCATCAAACTTAGTCAGCAGATGCATCTTTGGACTCTGAAAAATGTCGACTAAATTTGTAGGTCATGGTGACTTACTTTCGACATTTTTTGGCTATATTTAAGTATCTCTGGTACTTACTGGCTTAGAATCATCAAACTTTGTCAGTTGATGCATCTTGGGTTTTCAGAGAATGTCAACCAAAAAGTAGGTCACGGTGACCTACTTTCGACATTTTATGGCTATATTTAAGTATCTTAGGTATTTATTGGCTTAGAATAATCAAACTGTGTCAGTTGATACATTTTGGGTTTTCCAAGAATGTAGACCAAGAAGTAGTCCTAATTGGCTAAGAATCATCAAACTTTGTCAGGTGATGCAACTTTGGTCTTAGGATACTTAGGGTTAGAGGCTTCAAATACAAGTGATAGGTTGTACAATTTATCAGAAGAGCGATTCAAGGCCCTTGGGCCTCTTGTTTTTTATCTTCATCCAAAATCAACATCATTTGACACTACTTAATATTTTAATTAGCTAAATCAAATTATTCCAAGAAACATTTAAACATAATGAGCATTGATGGAACTCATTGAAGGAGATCTAAAATAAAATTGATTTGATTAGAATTGATTAACTGAGTGTACTGATATTAATCTTGCTTTGTGTTGTATAATTATTTTAATTATCCATTTTGATTGTTTAGAATAGATGTAGTTTAGGTGATTAGATAAGTTCCTGAAAATTTCATTGTTCATGGAATATTTTGTGAATAACCAAAAAATATTTTATAACACATTTTACATGTAGGAATGATTTTGAAGTAAAATATTTATCAACACATAGAAATTTTTTAGGGGGAGTTTACAAATGAATCGAATTAATGTATTGCTGTATACAATTATACATATATTAAAAATAATTTTAATATTCATTTATTTATTCATATTATAACAATTAATCAAAATATTTATTGAAATGTATGTTTTATTTGACTTCACAGAAAAAAGAGGAAGAAGAAAGCGAGGAGGAGGAGGAGGAAGAACCTGTCAAAGAAACCACAAAGACTGCCTCCAGGGTAAGTCAGCCAATCAAAAGTCTGAATATTCCAAATCATCCAATCAAAAGTCTGAATATTCCAAATCAGCCAATCAAAAGTCTGAATATTCCAAATCATCCAATCAAAAGTCTGAATATTCCAAATCATCCAATCAAAAGTCTGAATATTCCAAATCATCCAATCAAAAGTCTGAATATTCCAAATCATCCAATCCAAAGTCTGAATGTTCCAAAATCAGCCAATCAAAAGTCTGAATATTCCATATCAGCCAATCAAAAGTCTGAATATTCCAAACCAGCCAATCAAAAGTCTGAATATTCCATATCAGCCAATCAAAAGTCTGAATATTCCAAATCAGCCAATCCAAAGTCTGAATATTCCAAATCATCCAATCCAAAGTCTGAATGTTCCAAATCAGCCAATCAAAAGTCTGAATATTCCATATCAGCCAATCAAAAGTCTGAATATTCCAAATCAGCCAATCCAAAGTCTGAATATTCAAAATAAGCCAATCAAAAGTCTGGGAAAAAATCAAGTCAGCCAATAAGAGAGCTGAATGTCCCAATTCAGTCAATCAAAAGTCTGGATAGAAAACCAAATCAGCCAATCAAAATTCTTAATTTCCTTATTCAGGCAATCAGAAATCTAATAACATGTCAGGCAATCAATTAAGACAGCCAGTCAGAATTTTGAGAGTCTCAAAGCCAATCAAGTTTCTGTAAGAAAAATGCAATTGGCAAATCAGAATTCTAAGGGCTTCAAGTCAGCCAGTCAGAAATGTGAATACCTTAAGTTACACAAACGTTAGTCTGAGTATAACAATTGAAAAGTGGAAAACAGTAGTCAAATATTAGAAGTCTTAAATTCTTTTAAAACAAAATAAATGATAAATCTAAAAGCTGGTGTTCAATCATTTACAGATAATAGCCTGCTTGATAAAGATTTTTTTCTGTCAGGTGCAAGTATTTAAGCAATGTAACCCCTCCAAGTTAAAATCTTCCATTTGAACAAAGATTCAGGACTGAAACTTTTGCAAAAAGCAAACAGATAAGAGAAAATGTGTAATTGCTTCCCCACTTTTAACCAAAGCTGAATTATCTTCATGCTATTCTATTTTATACATGCAATGCTAGTCATACATGTTATTTCAATCCTTAAATAAGCAAAGAAATCCCTAGTTATTGTCTTTTTTTTTAAATAGGCTATGCCTGAGCTTCCCGTTCCAAAACCCCGAGCAACCAAGACAACGGAGAGTGAAGAGGAGGAAGAAGAGGAGGAAGAGAAAGGAAAGAAGAAGGAAAAGGACAAGAAGAAAGACAAGAAAAAAGGTAACACTGCTGTAAACCAACTATTATTTGTGTGCCAGAAATTTTTACGAGTCTGGCGACTGACTTTAAGTTGCGACTATTAATCGCCTCAATCATTTATTATGCTTTGTTTTTGTAGCATTTTTTTCTTTATTCATGAAAATTAATTGTCGCAGATTGATTTCAAACTGACAAATAGTGAATAAAAAATGATGCGTATTATAGTTGGTCTACTGTATATAACAGTATTCAACACACTGAATACAAGGCTTCTCATTCAACAGGATCAGGTCTATTAACAGCAATAATAGCTCTGTGTTTGACATAACAAGGGAAAATGTGAATTAAATTTCATGAACATGTACCTTTGGAGAGAAATAAAGAATATTATTGTAAATTTTTTGAATAGGCAAGAAAGATTTAAAAGTTTTTGGTAAGGTGTCCACAGGACTGTCTGATGATGAGGAGGAGGAGGAAGAAGACAAGGAAGAAGATGAAAAAGAAGAGGAACCTGAAGAAGAAGAAGAGGAAGTAGAGGAAGAGAAGGGAGACAAGAAAAAAGACAAAAAGAAAGACAAGAAAAAGGATAAAAAGGTAAGTAGTGAGGACACATGTAGAAAAGGGAGAGGGTCACAGTCTGGTAGATGTGATAGTGAGGACAAGACAAAGATTTGGATGATATCATAACATTGTTATCAGGAAATGTATAATGGCAAGACAACACAATGCACAGTTACATTTTTATAGGTACCATGCATTTATCTTTATTTTTCGCTGTTCATTTGTGTTTGTGTAGGACAAGAAAAAAGACAAGAAAGATAAGGATAAGAAGAAAGGGAAGAAGAAGAAAGGAGAGGAAGATCAGGAGGAAGAAGAGGAGGAAAAAGAAGAAGATGAAGAAGAGGAGGAGGATCCTAAAGGGAAGAAGAAAGACAAAAAGAAAGGTAAAGGTTACAGTTAATAAGACGAGGAGGATTCTAAAGGGAAGAAAAAAGACAAAAAGAAAGGTAAAGGTTACAGTTAATAAGACGAGGAGGATTCTAAAGGGAAGAAAAAAGACAAAAAGAAAGGTAAAGGTTACAGTTAATCACAGGAGGAGGATTCTAATTACAGCTGTTAATCAGAGGCTGCATCATCAGAGTCAATGTTACCGAGGGCTTGCTGAAATTTGTTTTCCTCTTACAAAATCATTAGGGAATGTTTGTTCTGTTGAAGATGACTTGACTTTATCTTGGATTTGTAAGAATTGATTACCACCAGATGCAAGTAATAACTTGTTGGAGGCTCATTGAATAAGCAACAGTTTTATTTGAAAGTTGGAGAGGGCTCGATTAAGACAGCCCTGCTGCCAAATCCCAATCAGAGTGTTTGGATGAAATATATTAGTCAGGGAATTTAAATTACATGTTATGAATACATTTGATTGTGAAATAAAAAAAAGATATCCCAATGTCTTTCTCTGAATATTACTGTGGGTTAGTGCAGTCAAATTTAAATTTGCCCATTTGTGGGTAGGGTGAAAGGGGAGAAAATCAAATAGGGGGACCAAAATTTCCCTGTTTACAGAATATGAAGTTTGTAAGCACTGTTAATATTTTACAGACAAGAAGGACAAAGATAAAAAGAAAGATAAAAAGAAGGATAAAAAAGACAAGAAGAAGAAAAAGAAAGGTGAAGAAGAGGAGGAGGATGATGAGAAGGAAGGAGACAAAGAAGAAATAAAGGAGGAGGAAGGGAGGAAGAGTGGAGAGGAAGAAGAGGTAACAGTAAATACTGACAGTGTGGTTATGGGGTCATGTGGTTACTTTATTCCAGTTCCCTTCCTAAGGCCAGTCTAAGGGGATTCATGTCTCTATCATTGTTACTGAAAACACAATCGCTGAAAAAGATGTAATTGCTAATGTTGACATTGTGATTAATAAACCATGATGGTCACTGTGTGATTATTTTAAATGACAATCCAGTATTCTTGTCTATTCTACCCAATGGGCAATTAATTCGAGAACAACTAAATGAAAAGAGTTACCAATATTTAGTTTTTAAAAATGTTCATAATAATAAATGTAAATTTTTTCTTTTACAGAAAGAGGACGAGGAGAAAGATGGAGAGAAAGAAGAAAAGAATGAAGAAGAAAAGAAAGAGAAAGAAGCAGCCAATAAACCCCCGGAAAAGAAGGTACAGAGACTGGGGCTCTACTGATATTAAATGGAGGGGTTTTGCCAGGAACACTGGTTGTAAAGATATAGTAAAAATAAATTTCACAAACAACATTTAAATAGGCTAGTTTTTCCACTACAAATGTTAAATTGTTTTGTCTTTTTTGCAGTCAAGAACTTGTACGATATTATGACGAAAAAGTGTGCAGCCTTTTAGGAAAGCTTTGTTAAGGAGGAAAGCTGTCTAAACCTGCAAGTAGCTGAACAAGAGCGGAGAAACAGATGATAGAAAACTGGAAGGGATGTAAATGACATTACGTAGAACGAAACTAGAGGGGTAATAGACAACAAAACTTAGCTCTTCTGGAGTTGTGATATTTATATTATTTACATGTTTATATGGACTTATTTATTAGCTTTTATTTTACTTAAAATGTTAGTTCTAAATCTATGAAGTCCAGCCCTGTGTTACTTATCTGAGATGCATCAATATTCCTTAGGAATGAAAAAATTTTAATCATGTAGTTTCATAGGTAGAATGAATTACATGTATAGCTATTCTTAATACATCAATTAGGGAAATGTGATCTGAAATTATTGCACTTAATTATTGTGGTGATTCTGTTTGAAATTAATGATAATTATGATAAAATTAATTTCAACATTGACTGTATACTGTAAAATCACATATTTTTGTGATGGACATGAATTCGTGGGTTCTTTTCATACATCGAAAACAAAGGAATTAACCCTCCACAAAAAAATTTGTAATTTCACAGTACTGTAGTTACAATATGTGTATATAATCAATATAGGACCCAATGACTGGAAAGTTATTTTTAGCTATAGTTTATTTCATGGTTTACAGAGTTTATATTTGGAATCTCTTGTGAAGTGCCATGTGGCATTCACTTTAGTCTGTCCAATAATTTCTGACTTTAAAGTTAATCCCCCATAATATTTGTATTTTATTTATTATATTGTGCTGTATAAAACAATTTTTAGTGAAAAATTAGGCTCTAAAAATTTTGTAGAATTCTTAATTTTACGATAGATCTATAATCTATCATTTTGGAGTTTTTGTTTTTTGTCCTTCTTGCATACCAGTTGCCCTCCAATATTAGGTTCATGACACCATTCTCGCAACTGTTGATAACTTGGAACATAATGTGTTTTATTTGATGATCTTTTGTATTTCAACCAATGAAATCAGGGATTACATAGGGTGTATTAGTTCTTATTAATCAGGTTTGATGAAATGCCAGCACAAAATTATTTTCTTGAAGGAATTATTATTTTTTAAATAATATTTGGAATTTTCAATTTTTGAAATAGGAATTATGCTGGGATCAGCGCTGACATTAACTTGCCTATAAGCATGACAAGGGTTAAATAGTACATAATTTAAATGACCTTTTTAAACGTGTGTAAAAAAGATACAATATTATATAATTGGTTGTATAATGAAGAAAAGGTTGATTACTTGAGTGCTCTGATTTTGGTGCCTCAATGACAATTTTATGTTATAGATTTACTTATTATTGCCTTGAATCAGCAGCTAGTTGTATTACAAATGACTTCTCACATTTAAAACTGATTTAGTTTAAATTAGTTTTACATTTGTCATGTACAAATTACTGTTTGAATTACACATGCCTGCAAGTTGGATTTTCAATGATGGAGGGAAAAAAAGAAATGATGATATTAATTCTGCCTGACTTTTCATGGATTTTAATGCTTGGTGTACATATTTGTTGATGCATGTATTCATAACATCAAAAACATTTTTGTCAAAGCAAGTGCCCTTACCATCAAGAAAAAAAAACTTTTTTATTTTGTTTATAATAGATTTTGTTAAACATAAAAATGACTTGCAATTAATTAAAAAAAAAATAACCATAATACATGTATATTTCTTTTACTCTTTTTTTATTATACTTGGTTAATGAAAAAATGATGAACAATAGCATTTGTTTTCTTTCCATAATGCTCTGGAGCCTTGAAAGGTTGGGACAGGGGGAGGGGGTGGGAAAAGTGGTGGGGTGGGGAGTTGAGGGAGGAGAAATCAAATACAAAAGCTAATGTGGATTGCCTGTGTTTGGGTACATCTGAGTACATGTGTGATGTACATTGTACCTATGTCTAATAAAGATATTGTGATGTAGGATGTGTAGTGTAGTATAACAATAAATGTGATACTGGAAAATGAAAGCTAGAGTATGAAATAATGATATTTGATTGTAATTAAAATTCAGATAGAAAGATATTAGTTTAAAAGAAATATTCATGTGTTGGTGAGAGAGAGAGAGAGAGAGGGGGGGGGGAGGAAAGAAAGAGGACACAATTGGCATCATTTCAGCTGATAGAAGATGTAAGTTTTATTACCAATATTCATAAGAAATAAATGATATATTCAGATTTAAACAGTTTTTATTAATTTTTTTTATGATAGCTGATGTAAAGTTAAGATTATGTATGATTATGTGACACTGTTGCAGATTTCATTAATATCTATTAAATTGTTTTATACTATAAATAGTTTGTCGTAGTTTGACTTTGAGGGAGATGTCAAGGAAGGCATAAAACCAATAAAAGCATGGAGTGACCAACTGTAGACAATGGACTAGTAGCTAATTTTGGGAAGTACGTGTGTACTGATGGCCAACTATAGGCACTCCATGGTTTAGTCACTCTGGTTAAGATCATAATGGGCACTGGTTGCCAACTGTAGACACTTGACTAGTGGCTTATTGAATGAAGAGTACTGGTGGTCAAGACAACTGTAGACACTTGACTAGTGGCTTATTGAATGACGAGTACTGGTGGTCAAGACAACTGTAGACACTTGACTAGTGGCTTATTGAATGACGAGTACTGGTGGTCAAGACAACTGTAGACTCTTGACTAGTGGCTTATTGAATGACGAGTACTGGTGGTCAAGACAACTGTAGACACTTGACTAGTGGCTTATTGAATGACGAGTACTGGTGGTCAAGACAACTGTAGACACTTGACTAGTGGCTTATTGAATGACGAGTACTGGTGGTCAAGACAACTGTAGACACTTGACTAGTGGCTTATTGAATGACGAGTACTGGTGGTCAAGACAACTGTAGAAACTTGACTAGTGGCTTATTGAATGATGGGTACTTGTGGTCAAGACAACTGTAGATCGACACTTGACTAGTGGCTTATTGAATGACGAGTACTGGTGGTCAAGACAACTGTAGACTTTTGACTAGTGGCTTATTGAATGACGAGTACTGGTGGTCAAGACAACTGTAGAAACTTGACTAGTGGCTTATTGAATGATGGGTACTTGTGGTCAAGACAACTGTAGATCGACACTTGACTAGTGGCTAATTCTGTAATGATTTCTGGGGACCAACTGTAGGCAATGGACTTGAAGCTTATTTTGATGTTTGTAATATTTGGGCATAAAATCCGGTCTATAAATGATAAATAATCCTGTCCAGCTGTAGACATTGGACATTGTATGTGATGGATAATATTTAACAGCCGTAGACAGTGGACTTTTATGTTGTCCTTGAATCTTTGCTGTATCCAAACATAGATAAGATCACCTTGTTGTATGCTCTAGTGTAAAGCTTAACATCGTTATCTCCCAGTGCATCAGCTTGCTGAGTCTTCAAAACATTTCTGTCCACCTAATGACTGATAAGCGGCTGGAATCTTGGAGTCGACTGACATAATTGTCAAAGATTTTTACCTTCACCTGTATTAGATGGACGAAATACTAAATATGCGACCAAGCATATTGTTCGGCTTTGTAGGGGCACGCATTCCACCCACTTGTTGAATTGATCAACCATCACAAGTATATTGGTGTTTCGAGATGTTGATTCGGGAAATGGAAAAGTCTAGATGCAAGCTTTACATCGCGTTACATGTACACGTACTTGATAATACGTTGTCGATATCTAAAATATCGAGGTGAAGGTCTCAGCAAGTATAAGAACCTTTTTCTCATGTGTAAGATTTTATATCTTGTGAAAGCATTAATTTTTCGTGGGGTTTAATTTTCGTTGTTTTTATGTATGAAGAGACACGGGGCCTCGGTTTATACGGTCTCATCCGAAGGATCGCCCCATTTAGTCGCCTTTTACGACAAGCAAGGGGGTACTGAGGACCTATTCTAACCCGGATCCCCACGGGACATATATCATGTTGAATGGTCGTGTATAAAATTGAAATATCTTAAGTTTATTCAATCTGTACTCGTAAAAATGGACAAGAAAGACACAATCACCTCTGTCTCCGTCTCTAAAAATCCTTTTCAATCTAATCAAAGTTCATCTGTGAATGCAAATCCTTCTGCGACCGAAAACATTGGGGAACCAGGTATTGACAAGCAACGCCCCTTTTTAAAAAAAACTTTCAGTCTCCCAGAATTAATATTCAAATCGATAAAAAGATGTATTTCATAGATCTTCAAGAAATTCCTTTTAAACTATATGGTTCCAACATTGAAAGACTTGTATAAGGTTTTAATTATTTCCGTGAATGTTTTGGTATTTTTCCGAGAATATAAAACAAATGCTTTATTTGCAAATAACATGCTTTAGGGTATAACATTTGCTATTAATGATTGCATAATATAAATGTTCCTTGTGCTGAATTTTTTATTTATAGAATTAAATTGTCCGTCCAGCCTTTATTTACATAATTTTCAGATATTCTTTTATTTATGAATAGGAAAGTTTCATCAAGAAGGATGTTGTTTGCTTGCAAATATAACATTATACTAATTTTTCTTTAAAAACCAGAAACAAATAAAGTAAATGATTAATAATTAAGAGCTGATAGTTTCCTTTTATTGCTGGAACCACGACGCAACATGGATGTCTTAAAGGTCTACGAAATAACATTTTGGTTTGGCACTTCTTTTAACTGTTATTTTTTTAGGATAATCAGAAAGACGCGATCTTTGGATATTTATATTATAAATTATGGAGAGTTTTTATCTGCAGAATTTACTGGGTTTTACTAAACTCAAAAGAGAAATTGTCCTTGAAGATTTGTCAAAACCCACGTATTTAATCTTTATGCATTTAAAGTTTTTTTTTTTGTTATCTGTAGATACATTTTAATTAGTCGGAAATTACCTAAACAATCTATTGAATGCAGACGTATTTTTGAGTTTGTATTTTTAGCTTCCTTGATTTATGACTTTAGTTAGAATTCTCAGAAACAAACATCACTAATGTATGATGGAAACGTACCAATGCAATTAATTATAAAAACGTTTCACAGGTAATTTTGGATTATAATAAACAGCATTTACTGACACACTCTGGATATTTCATGCAGCTGCACGTAATGCATATCGTGTATGGTTGTTTTTCGTCTTTGCTTTAGCATCTATGTTTTATATTTCATGCTGCTCAGATCAAGGATTTTACAAGGGTAAGTATATATAATTATTTATTATTTAATAGGGATTCATTGATAATTGCTATAAACATTTGTAGGATTTTGTTTCATTTGATAAGGATTAGGATTAATGCTTTTGCAAGAATTCATTGGTAATGCAGCATTCTGATTTGTACTATTTCAATGGACTTGTACGTGTCCTATCGTGCGTGTATCCTATCTTATCGTGCTCTCAAATCCAAAATTCTCAGACCCAGAAGCCGCCATAAAAAGTTGAGAAAAATAAAAATTCCTTAAACTCTTTTATTCTCAAATTCTCAGCTGAGTAAATCTCAAGAGTTGAGTTGAGAATTTCTGTTGAGAATTCTCAAAGTTTTATGACGGCGGACCCTGGTCTTTTTTTAATTTATCGAATTGCATTTTATTTTTATTTGATATGATTTATTTCGATAATATTTAAATATTATTAAATACGATTTTCTTCAATTGATCAGAGTTTCTAGAGGAAGATTTCCGGTAAGCCACGGTGTATAGAAGTATTTTCCCTTTTAAAAAATGATATTAATAATTAATAAGTAAAACTTTATCAATTAATCTTTAATAATATTTTTACTTAAATGGGAAATATCGCTGCATTTCATTTCCGGAAATATGCATAGCATTTCCGACATTTCTTTATTTCATTTCCGACATTTTTTGTTTTCATTTCCGACATAATTTTTTTTTTTCATTTCCGGAATTTACCTGTGCGGCAATTCAATGTTTACTAAGTAAAAGAAAATAGAATTTTAAAAGTATTTATACCAAAATATTAATAAAAATAATTATATGAAAAACATCTATACATATGTACATACATGTAGTACCAAGTCTAGGTAAAACAGTTCAGTGAGCATTAAACTTTTTTTCATCACATGTGTAAATTAAATGTCAGTGACAGCACCATACCAAGTCAATGATAGATTTACAAAATTGTATTTCAGTGATTTATTTATGATTTATTCCTTCGAATTTTTCATAATTAAAGTTATCAAATCTGTTACTATAGGTACTACATATGTATTTAAAAAATGTCGGAAATGAAAACAAAAAAATGTCGGAAATGAAAACTAAAAAATGTCGGAAATGAAAAGTTGATAATTGCCCAAAATTCCGGAAATGAAATGCAGCCGGGAAATATCACGGGTAACAAGCTTAATACAAACTATACACAGGTGACCACTCAGGTGTGAAAATCCCAATTTTGGCTAGATGGGAAAAAGAAATTAAAAATTTTGGCTAAGTGGGGATAAACTAAATAGCAGGCTTGTTACCCGTGATACCTTTCATATAAATAAATACTATCATAAAAAATTAATTAATAACGTTCTACTTATTAATTATTTATATCAATTAATCTTTAAAAAAAAAATAATAATACTTATATTTCAAAGCACAAGTTATGGTAAAATTACGAAAAGAGAAAAGAAAATGTTAAATATGTTTTATTTAAATTTAAAAAATATTAAATATAATTAAATTCGTTTATCAAGAGAGATAAAAAAAAATTGGGATTATGACTTTTTAATAACTAGAACAATAAATATATTGTGTAGAAATATTACTACTAATTACTGTAAACCGACTTTTTTCGCGTGCGAGAAATGATCGCGAGAGCCTCATGATCGCGAATATTTCTCGCCGCGAACTGGTACTTATAGTCTCTATGTGAAGATTATAAAAGCATAATCACGAAAATTAATCGTCGCGAAGTAGTTTACACCTGGTAAATCGCAAAATAAAGTCGTCGCGAATACAAGTTGGTTTACAGTATTAGAACTTATGTACATACATGATCAAAATTGAGAAAAGTGCTTTTATGCACAAGTGTTTATAATTAATTTCTTATAGGCATGAGTACAATACATATGCACTTGATTTGGAATAAAATTTTAACCAATAGTATGTTATTATTATAGTATTGTTACAATTTTTTTAAACAAGTGTCTGTGGTACAATGCCATATAGAAGTAGAGTCTTAAGAAAATAAAATGTCCTTGGAAAAACCCGTCGTCAATTCAGTGTATAAATAATGGACTAACAATTGGTATGAAAAACGTCAGTCAGCATTTGACTCAATGATAAATTGTATTTGCTGACAAGGTCATGGTATCGACCATAGAACTTACGAAATGATGACTTTAAACGAGACTGCTGATATTCTTGTTTCGTCAACTTGCTTGTCAATAATTTACCTCGCCCCAGAAACTGTTCATACGTAGAGCACGCTCTTGCGTATCGAATCAGCTGAGATATATATAAACTCCGTATGCAGGTGATGAAGGTATATTGCTGCAAAGTCATAACGTTTATCATATAGCTTGGTTGTTAGACCACATCCAGTGTCCTCCTCAAGCAAAATATCCAAGTACGAAACAGAATTTTGACTACCTGGTTCTATTGAAACGCATGTACTTATGTTCATTTAAGATTTTATTCTAAATGAATTAGATAATTGTATAATTTATGGATTTAAAAATTAATTTATTTACTTGAAAAGGAAATACAATTTATTTACTTTTGGAGACCAGGTATTCCAACAATCTATTGGAATTCCCATTGGCACAAATTGCGCTCCGTTATTAGCAGACTTTTTTTTATATTCTTATAAAGCAGAATTTATGCAAAATCTTATGCGTGAAAAGAAGAAAACACTTGCTGTGGCCTTCAACTCGACATTTAGATATATCGACGAAGTATTGTCAATTAATAATGGTAATTTCCATTCCTACGTCGATTTCGCATAAATCCTGTTTCATAAGAATGTAAAAATAAGTCTGCTAATAACAGAGCGCAATTTGTACCCATGGGAATTCCAATAAATTGTCGGAATACCTGGTCTTCAAAATCCTCATAGATATTGTCAATCAGAAACTCAAAACAGCCTTTTAAACATGTATACCCCCATTCTTGGAATATCATTCTTTTTTCCAATCATTTCTTGCAAAAATTATGAAAATAAAATTTAAAAAGATGATCATGATGATATCGGCTTAAAATCAATAAGAATAGATCTCAAATTTGTTTGTCTAAAAAAGTTGGAAAAGCTTTAGGTCCATAGGTCCATAAAGGCAATCAATAATTTTGTTTCTGTATATGTACCAAATAACTTACAGACCCTATGTACTGGGCGCAACGGCTTAATTTCCATAAGTAATTTATATCGAATACTTTGTATGCACAATGACACTGTAATAAACAAATATATACCTGCTATAATATTTTCAATCTTCAAAAAAGATTTTATTTCAATTGACAATGATATTCAGAATTCCATATTGGTGTGTAAAATTAAAACCGGATCTGTAAAACTATGGACCTTCCTAAGATTAAAAAATAAAGAAAATATTTTCTTTTAAAAAAATATGTCCCCATACAGTTGTTCCTCTTTTTTTTATGTTTTGTTTTGTTTTATTTTGTTGTTTTTTACGTTTCTTCAAACTGAAACTTAACAGAATGATTTCTTTTTATAAAAAAAAAATTCTCACTACCATTTCATTCAGTCATATTGCTCTAAATTTTCATTAGATGAATTTGAAATAGGAGTTAAGAGGTAAAATAAATCTCTTCCAACATATCTTAATCTTAATCTTTGCGAGGATTGAATTTGTTTTTTTTATTGTGAAAGGACAAATACAAAACAACGTTCAAATGGCCATGTATAACGGAATTTTAAAGAAAACTTCTCTTTTTCTAGAAAACTTTAGAATGATGAATCTGGAAAACGTAGCGGCGCTCGTTCTGTTCTTCGTGGAGTGCTATCATGTCTGTGGTCATCTGAGCATCGCTTTCAGGATCCGAATGCTCCCTCGGAAGGACCTGTACCGGATCCGTTTCTACATTCTCCTGGATCCGGTGTCGGGAATTTTGACTACCTTTGTGTTCCTTCAGAGGATTCAATGGTTGTCAGTGCTCCATTTTCTGCAACAATTGTATTACTTCCTTTTCTGGGAAAAGACAAGACACGCCAAAAAAGTAAGACTCTTTCTTATGCTGAATTGGGAAATTATACTATTATATGGTCTAGTTAAATGAATGTCACGTTTAATAAAGCCACAAGAAGTTGCATTTGGACTTTAAAAATCCGAAGTGCAGTTTATAAATTCTACATAATGTTTTATTTTTTTCTAATTAACGCAAGAAGTTAATACTCTATCACAATAAAAACAAACATTAAACAAGAAATTACCTAGTCTTTAAATCAGTTGATCAATCGTTGCTTTATTTCAGATCTTAAGTTGGAGCTCTCTAGACTGGACTGCCAGTAAATTGAAGGAGGAGTGGCATTTTGAATCCATTCTGGGGTTATCTTTCGACACAGGTGTTCATGTCACCATGGCTTTCTTTCTCAGCCAATACTTGTCGACGGTACAAATCTTCGTTTGTCTGTTTTTGGTACAGTGCCTCGCATTGGTTGTTCTTTGTGGACCTTGGTACGCCTGGAGTTCCCCTTCGGCCATCCCAAAGTGGGTCCAAAAGAGGATTCGTCCATTGAGCAAGGAAGAATGGAAAACGTCTTAACCAGTCATTCCTTAGTTCTGGATTGAATTGCCCTCACTCTTGGTGTAATTTTGTTAATCATTCTCAGTATTGTGATCTTTAGTTATTTATTTTCTGTAAGGTTAAATATCCCTCCACTTCATATTTCACCATTTCCCCCTTATATTCCCAACCTTGATTTTCATTAACAATGACATTAGATTCATATGGAAAGTAGTTTAATATATCAAGCTTTTCTTACCTTTTCAAAAAGTAATATTTCGTCTGAACATGATATGAAGAAAATTGGGTAATGGTTATTTGAAAGATCAACATTGTTTTATCTCGCAATAAAAATAAATCTGAGATACATGTGTATATAAAATTAATACTTGTAGTATTTACTTTCAAACGTAATGTAATTCATATTAGAAAATATAATAAAGCGTTGCTTTTTAAATCAGAAAATTACATATCGTGTTTGTGCAAAATCTGTTCTGGTGAAAAGAAAATTAAGTACTAATTGATTATAAAATTCCTTCATTTGAAATCTGCAACAATTTAAAGACATATGTTAAGAGAATATCTCAATTTTCCTAGGAACTGATTATAATTTTTGTAAGGTAAACTATTTTAGTAATTGATAAAAATATCAGCAAAATTTAAAGAAATCAATATTTGTATGATAGAATTGATTTGAATTAGTTAACTTTAAAATAAATTCTGGAAAGACATTTAATTACCTTGCATGGAATAATTTCATCAGAAAGTCTAGGGAAATCCGCTGACGCTTTCGATCCCTGAGTTCTGGTTCCTCGGTTCACGAAAGTGCCTTCTCCTCGATCTCTTCCTCTCTGGAAAGGAAAGTCACTTCTGGATTTTGTGAAGGCTAAGCCTCTGTTTGCTTGTTTTCATGTTGTTAAATGTCTCGATCAAAAGTCTTTCACTCATAAGGAGAAACCAGGTAAAATGACGCCAGCACTTGCCAGTGGAAAGCTGAAAATTTTGTCCTATACTCGGCACTCAGGGTCTTTTAGCAGGTAGGGATCTCTTTCGTGCCAGTTCCTACTGCGACACAGGAGCTTGGTTTATACGGTCTCATCCGAAGGACCAGTCTCCACATCCAACAGTGTGATTTGAACCTGCGCCGTAAGGATCAACTCATTTCTTAGACGCTCCACCAGTTGGGCGAGGGCTCAGCTTCTGTGACACGTCTAAATATGATAAGTCCTGGGTCACTATAACCCTAACTCTTCCTCACAACCATCTGACATTTTTGTAGGATGGTTTCTAGGCGTTAAGAACCCTCCCATGTTTCCCTTTCAAGTGTGGCCTTATATTTTAACTCCGGTGGCACTCTTCTAAGCATCTTGTAAAATGGACAGAGGAACTTCTTTAACTGTAGACCATGTTTACTCTTTCCAGTTCGGCCTTTGGTCAGGTTTAATTGACGTCAAACCTTATACTATAATGCATCACAGGACAGCTAGGTCATGGCTCTTATATTAGGGGTCAACGAATCTTTGACATCATATGGTTGGTGCCAATCATATTACGATTGTATTACGCTTCCCGTACGATTTTGGCGATGATGTAAATATATCTTGCAATCGCAGATTTTTGAAGTATGATTTTAGCGATGATACATATCTTGCGACCGCAGTTTTTTTTGCGGCCTTTACCAAACGGTTTAAGGGCATTTTCAATTGAAACTGTAACAAGATGTGAAAGTTCTCAATTGCAAATGATCATCAAGTGTAGTGTCACCCTTTAAATGCAGTTTACAGATGATGATTGGTCAAATATCAGCGCTATAAGAACAAATTCCTGTCTGAAAGGTCATGATATGATCGTCGTAAAGTCGATGTAGGTCTTCGTAGGATCTTCAGGAACGTAGAGATATCGTAGTGACAACGTAGTACGAACGTAAAGGAGCGTTGTATGAGCGTACTTGTTAAGTTCCTACGCTCTTGCGGCGCTTTCACTACGATCACGAAGATCTCTCAACGATGTTTCCGCGCTGCTTGTACGATTACGGCGCTTCTACTACGCCCTTATACATGTGTTATACGACTTAACCCCGATTCTTGTTGGCCACGATCCCGCTACGCTTGTTTTGAACATGTTCAAAATAAGCGTGGTGAGAGCGTAGAGCTCTCCAATCATGAAGACCCTACTGCGATCATTCTACGCTTATGACCACTCCACGTCTTTCTCCTGTGATTTGTCACGATTTGCCAAGCTTTCGGCCAGGCTTTGATCGTAGTAGAAGCGGCGTACTATGTGTGAACGGGGGGTTACAGTATACTGATACTTGTAACTTACAACTTGAATGAAAAATGTCACTCAGCGAAATAGAGACAGGTTTAAAAAGATAGAGCGAGTTTTCACCGCATTAATTTTAATTTGTGCATCAAGGCTCGCAAAATTATTTAATATTTCAGGAATCTTAATATCGTTTGATAAATGACGACGAGTATAGCAACAGCCTGTGTCATACTGAGCCTCTAAAGATTAGTCGGAATCAGAAATATTTCTATTTTCAAATACTCCATTGCCTTATTTTAGCTCTTTTAATCAATCTACATGAGCCACATACGAATTTCCGATACCCCAAATCTGACAATGTGGGACAAACAGTGTGTATGGTCCTGTCCAACCTAATCCTATTTCGCTGTTCTTTTGTCATGTTTAGAAGGATACCATCACCAAACTAAAACCTCCAACTAAAAACTTCGAGGCTCTTATTTTGTATCTTTACCCAAACATGACAAGAAGGACCCGTCGGAGATGCTCACTCCTCCATGGCATCTGATCCAGCATCTGATGTTTTGGATGTCCATGTCCGCTTCTATTTTGCAAGGATAAATGGACTCTTCAGTTCGAATACTGTTCGTTATCTCCACATATTTCATTTATTTCTTTTGTCTCATGAAGGTAGAGATTAAAGTTCTGAGAACAATAGGAAGAACGTTTTCTTTATGTTTTCTACCCACTCTACATAAGAATTATAACATACAAATATCTAATATTGCATTGAGATGATCCAGCTATGTTATCCAGTGGAAGTGTTCTTTCGTTTCCCATTATTACTAGGATTGTTGTTTCTAGTTGTGAGACTTTCGCGGCACTTTTCTGTTGAACTGACGTTAGTAGTTTCGTTGTTGAATTTAAGTTCTCTTCGGTGGTTTGCAGTTTCTGAAGCAATTTCTTGATGCAAATAGTTGAATTTTTAAGTTGTTCTTTTGTTCTTGACATTTGATATCGAAGGGATGAAGTTATGTCCACACATTTATGGAAGGCAGTTTGTCTGAGATTGTAGAATGGTAATTCTCTCATCCATAGTTTTCTGTCCAAAAAATTACGAACTCTATGTGCGTCACGCAATTTGCTCGAATTCGACTTCTTAGATGGCACTTGACAGTTTTTAGCGTAATGTCCGTATTTTCCACAGTTAAAGCACACTGATGGAGAATGCTTTTGATAGGCACGACTGTACTGCGGCCGATTAGAAGAAGAAGGTATAGTTTTAGCTTTATTGTGCCCTAAAAATTTAATGACATCAAAAAGTTTTGAAACTGGCTTCAATACTAGTTAAATATTTGACTGTGACAAATCAGGAAAGAATATATGGCGTGAAGGTTTTCCATTCAGCAAATATGACGTCATTAATGTGAATCATTTCTCTATTTTTGAACAACAGAAAAAGCCTCAAAATGGCCCATTTCAAGGGTGATTTCCTTTAGAAAAACAGTGTCCACAGCCATCGCCCACGTTAATCTTTTAATATTTTGTGCAAAATTCAATAACAAATCATATATCTCAAGATCTTTGTGGGCGATGTTATCTGAAAGAAAATTCCATTGAAAATTGGTGTCTTCTGCAACTTTTGAAGAAAATACGGGAAAATGCACATGTTTATGGAGTCACAATTAGCATTTAAAGACACATGCGAGAAAAATAATTTGTAAGCTTTTTCTGCATTGAATTTCAATTATTTAAAAAGCATAAGTTTTCAACTTTTAAACCAGTTTCATTTTATAGAAAATCACAGGGCAAAATTTGTATTGAAACCATACCTTGTTCTTTGTTAGCATCCATGATGGTTGAAAGTAAGAGTCCATCGTGATTTTTGATGTTTGGGGAAATTACAGTCATGGGGTGGAACTCGTCCCTGGCGTAGTGAAAGGTACAACATAAAGGGAACGTCCCGATTCTTCACCAATTATGACCAGTTCATTTTTGGTCATAAAATGTAAAAGTAAATCTTACAATAAATCCGTTGTTTTGCGTTATAGGGGAAGAAGGAATTTTGGCGGGTATAACGAAGTAGTGGCGCTGTGGGCCCGTGATAAAACGTAAAGGGTTAAGGTGCTGTATTCCTTATGGTCTTCCAATATAAAGTCCAAGAATTGGTCAATCAGGTTTCCGAATTTATTAAAGACATGGTAGATAACAAACATGAATTTTAACAAAATCTTAGAGACTTAAACGAGTTGGATGTGGCCGGTAGAGCGTCGGGCCTCCAAACTGAAGAGATTAATAATGGACACAGATATTTGTAAGATTAAGATTAAACAATAATTGACTTTTGACACTAGTTTAGTTAATTAATGAACAGGCGTGTTTGTTTGATAGAATGAACATGAAAGAGGTTATTATAAGTGATTATACAAATAAAGTATTTGGTAAAGGATTAACAAATCCCGAGGCATTAAAATCTCACGAGCAACATTTATTTTGACAGAGTCACAGAGTGTCAATTGGAATGTCTTAATCCTATTTCAAAGGGAATAAGATAAATAAGAGACAATTTACTACAAATAAGCACATGCAGATAACAATGTCACAGATAAACGTCCAAATTTAGTATTAATTATTAAAAAGTTATTTTATTTCAAAAATGTTAATTTTGCTCGGTGATATAAATCTTCTCGAGTCCGCCTTCGAAGTCAAGACATTTCCCTTACCTAATGGTGAGTGCATGTACTTAGTCTTGGACAATCTGTCCATTTATTCCAAAATATTTACATTCAGTGTAATTTTCCTTATGAAATCCATTAGAAATCCACGACGTTCAAATTTCTATAATACACGCGAAACCTTTTCACCGCGCGTTAGAATACACAGCAGGAACTATAAGCATTTTCAATGCTCTAGGGGCACCAAAATGTAAAATGTTTTATTTCAATTTAATGAAAAGCTATAACCCTGAAAAATTAACGTTAAAATTAACGAAATGTGCGTGATGAATTAATTTGTCACTTTTTTCCTCGCAATATTTGTTTGCGTTATTTAACTTTGTAACGTCATTTAACGTCAGTTGACGTCACAAACGGCTCTTACATCTATTAACCACGGCAGTTTTGAAGGGCGCTAAATGCACATTTAAGATGAACGAAATAAGCAATTATGAAGAAGGAAAATTAGAGAATGTAAATATAAGCATATTGAATTCATATTTTTGGATATCTTCGGTCCTATAACACACCTGGCCGTGCCGACAAATTATCATACCGCGCTAACGCGCGGTATTTAATTTGTCGGCACGGCCAGGTGTGTTATAGGACCGAAGACATCCAAAAATATGAATTCAATGCTTAAGTAGCATTTGTTCAAAATGGCATTGATAAATGATCAGCCTATTCTATGTTTTCAACATCGATCATAAATTTTACACTGTTATTTATAACGAGACCGAATCTAATTATTTTTACCCTAGCTTTTGATAATTTTTTTAAATTGAATTTTAACTACTATATTAAGATTATTTTTAAAAGATGAAAAATTCAAATACCATCCCCGATTTCATAGGGGGTCATCTTAAATGTTGTTAAATTCTACTATTTGGTCCTACAGTGATAAAATTTCGCCATCGAAGTCAAGACATTTGGCGTACCTCATGGTAGCTGAGTACATGTAGCTAGTCTTTTCACAATCTGTCCATAAGTTCATTCCAAAGTAGCATTTGTTCAAGATGGCATAAATCATCAGCCCATTCTATGTTTTTTCCATCATTTTACCAAAAACGTCCTTCGTGTCAAATAAAAATTTTGTATATAACTATGACTGTTGGGGAAAAATTGAAATTCTATGGTGAAATAATGTTTAAATTTTACTTTTATATCTAATGCAATATACCTTTCGCCTTGATTGGTAAATAATTGAAGTATTTAGCACTATCTATCTTGTTTAGTGCTTTATTTTTCTAAATATGTTAAAAATGCTTATTAACTCGTTTTCAAAATGATTGATTTTTTGGTAAATAGTGTTGTTAACGGACAAAAGTTTGTCGAATAATAAAATTTGAATTTCCCGCCAGTAACTACATAAAGTAGGTCATGTAAAACGTAAACAAACATTACCGAGTCTAGGCTACGGGCGATCACTCTTGTTGTTTTCAGCTGGAGCTCGGGGGACAGACAAGGTAAGAAGGGATTACATTTTAATTCTTATGAAGGTAATTGTAAATTATTGAGGAATACTTCATGGCTTTCTTTTTTTCTGTCCCTTTTCTATTTAAGAATTGGGCTGTATTCCAAAGCTCTGCAGGGTCGCTCGATCGTCGTAGACTACGCCAAAAAACAAATGGCCAACATTAAATATTATTTTGTCAACGTGACTTTAAGCTGTCCTGTGGCTGTGGTTATTAAAACATGTCTTAAATTGACTTTAAAACATCAAAAAACATATTTTACAGAGAAGTTTTCGGTTAAAACATATCAAGAAACATGATGTACGTGCAAAAAAAGACTATTACATCAACAGATCAATAATGCTCATTTTTTCGGAATGTTGACCTCTAACAGTCTAAGCACCAAAATTCAGATTGTAAATAAAAACATTTAACATAGATCTTTCTTATGATATATTTATTAAATCAATCGATAATTATTATTCATACAAATTCATACAAAACATGTGTATGCAACGTTCTATAAGTATGAATTATTCCCTGGGGCAAGTGATCTGCGTGTATGTAACTATGTTTCTGGCAGAATCGTAGAGGGCAAAGTCCACTTTTATTCATCACGTATACCTATAGACCCATGGTGTATTTCAAATATGGAAAAAAAGTTTCCATATACCTTTTATGGCTGTAACCATTAATGATTTTCAAGTTTTTTTTTTACATACTTTTTTACTTCTACAATTTTGGTTCATTTTAATTTTTCGTCTGGAAAACAAATACCGGTAGATCTACTAGTAGTTAAACTGTTTTCATATAGGCCTATATTGTAGGGTACTTTATTAAAAATAAAATATTTGGAGACTCCTCCAGCTGTATACTAATTTTTTAATGTATTAACTTTTTCATGTATTTAATCTAAAATCTATTGTCTAAAAATCACTATTTTTTTGATTGGGCGGCAACCGGAGAAAAAAATAAGAGATAACTTGCGTAAAAATAATCAATAGATTAAAAAAAAAAATATTGACAAGAGGAAAAAAGGACATGTGTCCCTTGAAAACCCTTTTTCATGTGGGGTTTGGGGGGAGGGTGGTAAGAGTGGTTAGATTCCGCTAGTTTCTTGCAGTTACACTGTAGTTCTATAAGGAAGTGAAGAATTTTTTTTTTTTTTTGTTTTTTTTTTAATTAAAAAAGACAACAGCGTATTATATTTGTCATACACTTAATAAAAAAATTAAAAAAGACAACAGCGTATTAATATTTGTCATACACTTGTGTTATCCGAAGCAGGTTTCTATGTAAATTAAAATTATAAAATATACCCAATGCTCAAAAAACTATGAAAAAGATTCTCCGTTTTTTAGCTCACCTCGACAAAGTCGAGATGAGCTTATGCTATACCCCCGGCGTTGGCGTCGGCGTCGGCGTTAGCATCGGCGTCCCAGGTTAAAGTTTTAGGAGCAAGTCCATTCCCAAGTAACTATAAGCCCTAGCTGAACCAAACTTGCATGGATGATGCATCTAGGAGTGTACACTACCAGACTTGCTTCGGATGCTGGATCTGACCTACATTTTCTAGATGGATGAACAGGTTAAAGTTTTTGGGGCAGGTTAAAGTTTTTGGAGCAGGTCCATTCCCAAGGAACCGTAAGCCCTACCCAGACCAAATTTGCATGGATATTGCATCTAGGGATGTACACTACCAGACTAGCTTCGGATGCTGAATCTGACCTACATTTTCTTGATGAGTGACCAGGTTAAAGTTTTTGGAGCAGGTTAAAGTTTTTGGAGCAGGTCCATTCCCAAGGAAATTATCAGCACTACCCAGACCAAACTTGCATGGATGATGCATCTAGGGATGGACACTACCAGACTTGCTTCGGATGCTGGATCTGACCTACATTTTCCAGATGAGTGACCAGGTTAAAGTTTTTGGAGCAGGTCTATTCCCTTGGAACTATAAGCCCAACCTTGACCAAACTTGCATGGATGATGCATCTAGGGATGAACACTACAAAGCTTGCTTCGGATGCTAGATCTGACCTACATTTTCCAGATGAGTGACCAGGTTAAAGTTTGTGGAGCAGGTCCATTCCTCAGGAACTGTAAGCCCTATTTGGACCAAACTTGCATCGATGATGCATCTAGGGATGGACACTACCAGAATTGCTTCGGATGCTGGATCTGACCTACATTTTCATTCCCAAGTAACTATAAGCCCTAGCGAAACCAAACTTGCATGGATGATGCATCTAGGGATGGACACTACCAGACTTGCTATGGTTGCTGGATCTGACCTACATTTTCATTCCCAAGTAACTATAAGCCCAACCTGAACCAAACTTGCATTGATGATGTATCTAGGGATGGACACTACCAGACTTGCTTAAGATGCTGGATCTGACCTACATTTTCTTTCCCAAGTAACTATAAACCCTAGCTAAACCAAACTTGCATTAATGATGTATCTAGGGATGGGCACTACCAGACTTGCTTCGGATGCTGGATCTGACCTACATTTTCTTTCCCAAGTAACTATAAACCCTAGCTAAACCAAACTTGCATTGATGATCTATCTAGGGATGGACACTACCAGACTTGCTTCGGATGCTGGATCTGACCTTCATTTTCTTTCCCAAGTAACTATAAACCCTAACTAAACCAAACTTGCATGGATGATGTATCTAGGGATGGGCACTACCAGACTTGCTTTGGATGCTGGATCTGATCTATATTTTCCATACAAGAGACCAGGTAAAAGTTTCGGAACAGATCAATCCGAATGAACTTGAAGTCCTTGATATCTGCAGTATTAACAAAGTTATGAATATTAGTTTACACTATACATGTTTTTCATGCTACACGCGTAGAAATGTGTATATACCATGTAAGAGGTTAAGCACAACTTGCAAGAATATTTTTGTTGGAATGAATACTTAATATTAAGAAAATATGATTTGAGATTTGCATTACTTGAACTGATAACATTCGTCGAGGTGAGCTTCGTAATCTTTGATTACCTATGTTTTTAAATAAGCAATAAAAAAACAGAGGTTGGAGGGGTTACCGTAGATACACCGTAAGCTCTGTACTCGAATTGAATTGTGTTAAATCTTTTAATATTGATATATTTTTTTTATAATTTCCATATTCTGTATACTTTAAGGTCTTAATTGAAGTGTATATACATACACTATATATACAGATCTGTATATATTAAATATTTCACATTTATCGGACTAATGCAAAAATAGGGCCTTACGGTTGGTCTGTCATAAAAACTTTTAAAATACACAAATAGAATACTTGTATATATGTGTCAGATTCATCTGCACTTTGAAACAATGTGACTCAAGTTAATGTGCCAGTCTGCACATTCCTCATTACCTGTTGACATAATTTCTCTCGATACCTGCATCGTACTGTACAGGTACTGTTTACTTTTAATATGTGTGTCACGGTCGTGTCTGGTAACTTGACCTGATATGACCCATTATGTTGACATTTTAATCTACAGGTCTATAGATATAAATAGATATCTAATCTTGAGTTACAATAATTATTATTTCATCTGCAGCGAGGATTGATTTTTTTTTTTTTTATTTTTACCGACTTTTGATTTACATGCAGTATAGATTTATCTTTCGACTCGAGAAGGACGCTGAAACAAATGAAGAACATAATCATATTTAATCTAAATATATATATACGTATATTAATTTAAAAGTGCAAAAAAAAAAATCCGGATTTTTTGCACCTTACTATACATCTATATATTCACTTATATATACTCTTAAACACATGTTAAAAAAAAGAAATTGTGCAAAATATTTTTACACCCAAACGGTTAACAAAGGGGTGTTCTTTTTCTCAACATCAAAACGTCAAAATGTTGCATTTATTAGAGGAAAGTTTAATTTTCCAACGTAGACTATTTATTTTTATGTCGCAAGACTCGCCATAGTCGGTAAAATAAGGATTATTTATTTCCAATGACATTATGGACAGATAATTTTCTTCTTCATGAAAAAAGTTTGACAAGCAAGCAAAAAAAAAAAAAGCAACCTCAAAAAGAAGATGTAAGGAACACCAAAATCCATAACATTAATTTAATTCGGCGAGGATGTGTGTGTGTGTGGGGGGGGGGGGGTATGCAATTACCAAAGATAAATTATTTATTTTTTAGTCCAAACAGGAAAGATTTACTTCCAACATTTTCTAGGACAGATTATTTTCAAATAAAGAAAAGAAAATTTACAGCCCCCGCTAAGAATCATTTTTCCGTCCCGTTGGAAGAAAATATCTCTAGTAAAATTGAAAAATTAAAAAAAACAAAAAACACAAAAATCAGAAACATTTTTCTCTTTGTAGAAATCTTTAGAATGTTGAATCTGGAAAGTGTGGCGGCGTTCTTTCTCTTCTTTTTGGAATGCTACCACATCTGTGGTCATCTTAACATCCTGTTCCGGATTCGACTTCTGCCCCGGAAGGACCTGGTTCGGATCCGCCTCTACTTCCTGTTTGACCTGTTGACGGTGTTTTCCTCTTCCTTCCTGTTTCTACAGAAACTACAATGGTTGGCAGTGCTACAGATAGTGCAGCACCTGTATTACGTCCTGTGTTGGGAGAAAACAGGGCCCGCCAAAAAAGTAGAACCTTTTGTTACGACAAAAAATAAAAAACAAAAACAAACAAACAAGCAAACAAAAACAAACGAACAAATTAAAAAAAAAGCCAGTTACTTACTGAGTAAATTATAGCTGCAATAATGTAGCCCTCCCCTTTTTTGTGGGGGGGGGGGGTATCAGATAAAAAGAACTCGGAGAGAGAGCGCTACATTATTGCAGTTACGAGTCAATCGTTAAATCAATCATTGATCCTTTTTTTTTAGATTGTCAGTTGGAGTTCTTTAGACTGGACAGCCAGTCAATATAAGGAGGAGTGGCACTTTGACTCTATCCTGGGGACAGCTTTTGACGTGGGCGTCCATTGCACCATGGCTTTCTTTCTCGGTCAATACCTGTCCACGGTACAAATCTTCGTCTGTCTGTTTTTGGTACAGTGCTCCCTATTGGCTGTTCTATGTGGACCTTGGTTTGCCTGGAGCTGTCCCTGGGCCGCGCCTAAGTGGGTCCAGAAGAGGATCCGCCCCCTCAGTGAAGAGGAATGTCGGCTGGGCCTCGGGAAACAATCTTAACGACACCCGAATCAGTATGTGGACTGAATTGCCCTCACTCATGGCATAATGATGTGTTAGTCATTTTCAGTATTGTGATCGAATCTTTCCAATCTAGTTTTGTTAAAAAAATTCTCAAAGTAATAATTGGTAATGTTCAGTATCCTCTTTTTAATTTCCTTTTTTTTCTAAAAAACAAATGTAATGAACGCGATGAACGTGAACATTCTATTAATGATTTTAAATAGGAATATACATGTATGTTCAACATAGCAACGAAAATCGTCATTGGTTTGAATGGGAGGATGGAAGTTAGATTGTTTTATAGCATATATGAGCAATATGGTGATTTATGTCAGAGTTCTGTATTTTATTTTATTTATTTTCGGTGTATGTTTTTATAGATTGTGTCACCCATCCTACAAAGAAATGATTGATTGATTTCAAAGCCTTTTATTGATCTTTATGTGTGCTAGTATTATATTTTATCCAGCACCAAGCCCCACCCCACTCCACCCCGGCACCATCAATCTCAAATTTAAACATTAATTTTATTTCCCAAGAGTATTATAATTCATGACATGTAGTCTAGAAATATATTCACATGACTTTGGTGAATCGGGTTATAATTTTTAATTCTAAATGTTTTTTTTTTAACTCATGCATGTACATGTATGTAGTGTTTTGGTATATATGATTTTAAGATGCGTGTGCTAAAGCTGTGTTGTATACGTGTACACGTAGTTTTCTTCTTCACAGTTTTCCTTACAATGTAGATGTGTCAACCAGAATATATATCTGTTAGTGTATAATATAAAAGCCCTGAATAAGGACTACATTCTGTTTTGTGATAATACATTAACTGAATCTGCAACCAGGAAGGAAGCAGAGATGCGTTTTTAACAGAGCACTTGAAAATGACTACATATTAGAAATAACTTCCTTCACACGATCTATTAACGAAGTACTGGGCTTACTCAGTAACTTCTTAGTGCTTTTAATATTTAGTGCTTGTTCAGGATTTTTTGAGTGTTTTGATGTTGGTGTTTTTAATTACTTATATATTAGAAATATTTGTTGCTGTTTGAATGAGCATAATTTTGTTGCATTTTATCATTTTGACTCTACACTTTGTTATGGGTTTAATCCTTCTTGTCAAGTGCTGTACATCCTATAATGTTAATATATTTCTTTTTTATACCATAATGGATACTCCTTAAAGTTTGGAGATACAAAATATAGCAAAAAAAAAAAATTCAATTTAATCTTACACTGTATTGGAAACTGATGAAAATTGTCACATATTTAGAACATTGTAAAGAAAAAAAATACAACATGTAAACAATACAGTTTACTTTTCCAAGATTAGGCAAAATTGAAAGTTCTGCTTTAGTATTCTCAGGAAGAATTTTTAGAAATCATTTGACTGCCATCATGAACAAAATGAATGAAAGCCGTGCATGGTGATAGCATAATTATCATGTTCAAAATTATTGTTTAATATATACATGTAGCTGTACAGTGTATATATCTTTGCTTATGTAATTTGTGAGAAAGTTGTGTAATGCATTGAAAAATGTTACGTTGAAGTATCACGCCATTCAACAATGAGACAAGAGAGAAAAAGTGACATATGTAATGGTTGAATATTTTTTTTTAAATTAAAGTTTAAACTAGCTAGTTCTCTTTGTTGTAAACTGCAAATAACAATGCAAAGTTTCGTTTGTGTATTTTTTTTGTTTTGATCTTATGAGTTGGACTTAATAAACTTTCACTGATATAAAGACTGTAGTTTTCTTTTGTTTGTCCATGTTAAATACGTTTTAGAATTAATAAGAAGTTAATTCTGACCTACAAATCAAAGATAATTTTATTTTTTCTTAATAGGATATTTTATTGAAAACAATATTCTTTAAAATCACTGGCAAATGGTCAATTTTTGTCCAATTTTATTCTCTTTTTAGAATGTAATCTAGAAATGTGTACTATAAAGGCTAAGTTATCTTAATTATTACCTGTCTAGTTTTTAGAAGAAAAAAAACGCTAAGTCATATTTATATAATTTACATCAGTTCTAAAATTATAAGTTGACTACCTGGCAGTACCTGCATGGTATATAATAAAATATTGATGCTGATCATATAAAAACTGTTGTTTTTATCAGAAACCTATATGCTAACCCATGTATATAGGTCTCTATTTTTAGCTCTACTGGTCAGAGACCAGAAGAGCTTATGTGATAGTAATGCGTCCGGAGATTCCGTCTGTCTGTAAAAACTGTCTGTCCGTCTGTCTGTCCGTCTGTCTGTAAACAATTTTTCAAAACGCTACTCCTCCTACATTTTTAGTCTGATTTCAATATTACTTGGCACACAAGTAGACTACATTAAGATACATAGAATAGTGCATCGATTTTTGATTTCGATGAACGGTGTTGCCATGGTTACTAAAAATAGAATTTTCTGTGAAATTCCTTAAAAACACTACTCCTTCTACAGTTTTGGTCTGTTTTCAATATAACTTGGCACACAAGTAGACAACACTACGATACATAGAATAGTGCATCAGTTTTTTATTTCGATGAACGGTGTTGCCATGGTTACTAAAAATAGAATTTTCTGTGAAATTCCTTAAAAACGCTACTCCTTCTACAGTTTTGGTCTGATTTCAATATAACTTGGCACACAAGTAGACTACACTAAGATACATAGAATAGTGCATCAGTTTTTGATTTCGATGAATGGTGTTGCCATGGTTACTAAAAATAGAATTTTCTGTGAAATTCCTTAAAAACGCTACTCCTTCTACAGTTTTGGTCTGATTTCAATATAACTTGGCACACAAGTAGACTACACAAAGAAACATAGAATAGTGCATCGGTTTCTAATTTTGATGAACGGTGTTGGCATGGTTACTGAAAATAGAATTTTCTGTGAAATTCTTTAAAAACACTACTCCTTCTACAGTTTTGGTCTGATTTCAATATAACTTGGCACACAAGTAGACTACACTAAGATACATAGAATAGTGCATCGGTTTTTGATTTCGATGAACTTTGTTGCCATGGTTACTAAAAATAGAATTTTCTGTGAAATTCCTTTAAAACGCTACTCCTTCTACAGTTTTGGTCTGATTTCAATATAACTTGGCACACAAGTAGACTACACTAATATACATAGAATAGTGCATCGGTTTTTGATTTTGTTGAACGATGTTGCCATGGTTACTAAAAATAGAATTTTCTGTGAAATTCCTTAAAAACACTACTCCTTCTACAGTTTTGGTCTGAATTCAATATAACTTGGCACACAAGTAGACTACACAAAGATACATAGAATAGTGCATCAGTTTTTAATTTTGATGAACGGTTTTGCCATGGTTACTAAAAATAGAATTTTCTGTGAAATTCTTTAAAAACGCTACTCCTTCTACAGTTCTGGTCTGATTTCAATATAACTTGGCACACAAGTAGACTACACTAAGATACATAGAATAGTGCATCTGTTTCTGATTTCGATTAACGGTATTACCATGGTTACTAAAAATAGAATTTTCTGTGAAATTCCTTAAAAACGCTACTCCTTCTACAGTTCTAGTTTGATTTCAAAATAGGTTGGCACACAAGTAGACTACACAAAGATACATAAAATAGTGCAATGGTTTTTGATAAGTACAAACCAGTAGAGCTACAGTCTCGACAGAGACTTCTGGTTATCAACTAAAACAATATCTTGGATTATCAGAAAGTCCGCGTGATAAAATCTGTCTAGAAATGTTGTAATTCCAGTGATATCACAAAATGTTTGTTTCAATGCAATATATTGAGGAAAAAAATTATCTTCACTTTTTGCACACATCTGTATATTAAAAAAATTTATTATTATTTGTTTTTAATTAAAAGTATACACGCTATAACTTGTGCCAGTTAAAATACGATTGGAAATTGATATCATTTGTTTATCAATAGAAGTTACGAAAATACTGTAAATTACACCATTAAAATTAAACGCGTTACAAAGTTATCACATTATAATTATTTATTATCCTGCAAGGAAAGAAAAATAGCTATTTATAAATAAATCCATCACGTGACGCCGTCGCTACTTTTAGATTGATAAACACACGTGGCGTAAAGAAAGCAAGGTAGGTCGTTTGAGATACTACTCACTTTTGACGTGGATTGCAAGCGTCTTACTCTTAATGGTACTCATCTTTTAATGTATTCAGTATATATCAACCATCTTCTCTGTTATGACGCATATTGTCCTTAATATTAATAATTGTTGTCAAAATGCAACATACCTCGTTGTCTGTGATTTCCCGTGGACATGTGTTTCTATATATAGGCCTACTGTTTACGCACTTCCTTCATCAATATTCATGAAAAGCCTGAATTCTTTTTTCCTAGATATGTTAAATTGTTTTGTTATTACAACGCCATCTATGGTACAATTTTGTGGAAAGTATTATTTTTCATTACACTTCATGTGTTTTAAATCATTAATCATTTTGTTTCACACAAAATTCTGCGTTCATACAGCGTATATGACTTTAACATAATATAAAACCATGAACATAGTAAATTAAGTCTTCTAATATTTGATTATATTTTTCTAATTATGAAACAGATAGACTGTTACATTTTCTAACTACATCCAAAAATAATTATGAAGCTTGAGATTTACTATAAAAACTTCTTCAAATGCTGTGCACGATCAGATCATTTGATAAGGAAACTTAACTGATATAATGTACAAGTTATTGAAAAATACGAATATAAAATGTACGACTTATTTCTATGATGTCAACAGAGACTTCCGGTAAATCGAAATCAACACACGTGGGAATGGGAAAGCAAAATAAATTACAAAAACTTGTACCAATGAAGGCAAAAATGAAAGGTTTGTAGTATTGTAAGATACCATGTGATTTCTCTAGGTTATTTTACACAGTTCTTATGTAAAATCTTGTTTAAATGCCATTTATAAATCTATTGAAATAAACGTAGTAAGAACAGTCGTTTTTAAAAAAGTTTGCTACATAGAATTAAAGATCTTAAAATTTTCTTTATGAGGCCATGCATCATTAAATACATTTTTGTTAGATGTACTCCGAACTACGTTTTTCAAGGTAAGTTTGTGGTGCTTTTTTAGTTAGGTATTGGACAAAATGGTCATAGCTATCATAAAAATATCAGTCTTAGAAATTTATTTATGTTTTCATTATGTAACAGGAAGGGAGAAAATGTATGGCTAGACTGGAATCGAACCCAAGATAGCTCAGTTGGTAGAGCACCTGACTAGAGATACAGGGGTCCCGGGTTTGATTCCTGGTCCAGCCATACATTTTCTCCTATCCTGTTACAGATTTGGTGCCGTTGACTACCCCTGGAATTGCAAATGTCCTGCCAGGGGGTAATAAGAACTTGGGTTGTGTCTTTGAGGGCAAAGACCATTTAAGGAGGGAGGAATGTAATGGTTTGGGCCGTTGATATGGGCTGAATAGCTCAGTTGGTAGAGCACGTGACTGGAAATACAGGTTTGATTCCCGGTCCAGACATACAATTACATTTTCTCCTTTCCTGTTACATACAAGATAACTATACAATTTGATGTTTATTTCATAGAGATGTCCTTGAGAAATCATACTATGAAACTTAAAAAAAAATATTAAAATTCTCTGAGTGCTGAAAAAATGATTATGTAGGGGCAATTTAGCATGTTAGATGGATTAGCCAGAGTATATCTAGTAGGGTATCATATTTTATTGTTGGCCTGAATTAAATGTTGAAGTTTAAAGCATATTTTATCTCATTTTAGGTATAAAGAAAAAGAAGACTGTAGAAGAAAAACCATCTAAAATTACAGAAATGGGTAAGACAACAAATTAAATCAAGCAACAATCACCATCGTCGCAGGCCATTTATTTCGGAATTGCACAAACGTTTGTGGTAAAAAAAAAAATTGGACGCAACCAAGAAGAATCATATGGGTTTTGTTCTAGCAGTGATTGTTTTCATTTCCATGATTTATGCTTGATAAACTCTTTTTCTGTCATTTACAGACAGTGACGACGAGAGTTTAGCTGATGACAGTGACATTGATTCTGGTGACAGTGATTTACACAGTAACGAAGGCTACGAATCAGATGTTAATGAGGAAGACAGCGATGAGGCCAGCGGAGATGATGAAGAAGAAGGAGATGAGGATGATGATGAGGAGGAAGAAGAAGAAGAAACAGAGACGATTGACAATAAACAGGACAAAAAGAAAAGGAAACTGAATTCACAGCAAACAGATTCTTCTGAATCATCAAGTAAATAATTACAAGTGACATTTGTGAAGCCACTGTCTCTTGTATATCTGTTGATTTCTGTAATAAATTCATTTCTTATCTTTTCTTTCTTTTTTTGTCATTATAATTTATGTATTAAAAATACTTTTACAATGAATTTATTTGTAATGTGCTTGTTGCAGAGAAAAAGTTAAAAACAGAGCCTGATTCAAAAGAAGAACAAAAATGTAAGTTTTTTACTTGTTTCTTACTGTTTGATATAAAGTGAAAATGTCTGTCAAAATTGTACATGTCTAATATATGATAATAGAGAGTAGATGTACATTTAAATAATCTCAGATACATTTGTATTTCTTGCTTGGGATATCTGTACGTAAACAAAAAGAGACTAAAATTACACGATTAGATTAGATTTTTACAATTATAAAACCCTTTTGTGTTCCAGTGCCGGGGACAACTGTGGGGGGCGGAATCCTGACCGACACCTCATTCTCCTCACTAGAGGGCGTGGTCTCCGACCTCTCATTGAAGGGGATCGCAGACATGGGCTTCACCCACATGACAGAGATACAGGCCAGCACAATACCCCACCTACTGGAGGGCAGGTGTGTTTACTTACTTATCCTTCTAAATTCTAGATGAACCTGTACGTAGATAGTGCTGACCCTCACCTGTGAACTTTGGCAATTTTGACTTCATTTTGTATGTTTTGTTAAGGACTGTTTTTAAGTGGCATAATGTTTTGTTTATGTTGTTAGGGATTTAATGGGAGCAGCCAAGACAGGAAGTGGTAAGACGTTAGCCTTCCTGCTGCCGGCCGTAGAACTGCTGTACAAACTCAAGTTCATGCCTCGCAATGGTAAGATAGAATGAAGCCTAAAATAGTAGAGTCACTTTGATTACTGTCAGCTGCAAGAGATTGGTAAAAGAAATGCTTAAAAAGTTTGCTCTCTCTAGATAATCCTACTTTGTCATCTTTTACTTTGAAATTGGTAAGGGACTAAAGTTTTCTAAATTTTGTGTCGTTAAATATTTTGAATGCAACATGATACCCATGAAGTAACACCTTTTCAAACCAGTAAAATTTTGGGATTCCTCAATATTGTCTTCAGAGATTGAACACTGTCCGAGTGATATTGACTTTATAAATACATGTACACATATTTTTAGGTACGGGCTGTATAATTATCTCCCCCACTCGCGAGTTGTCGATGCAGACTTTCGGTGTCCTGAAGGAGTTACTGAAGTACCACTGTCACACGTACGGCCTGATCATGGGGGGCACCAGCCGAGTGGAGGAAGCCAAGAAACTCGGCAAGGGCATCAACATCCTGGTGGCCACGCCCGGACGATTACTTGACCATCTACAGGTGAGGCCTAAAGTAAACGCTACAAGCCAGGACTGAAGTGTAAGCTACAGGGTAGTGCTAAAGCTGTGGCTAAAAATTATCATGCCAAAAATTTTTGATCTAATCTTTGTTTATTCACAGAATTGCAATACTGAATTAAATGAATCCTCCCGTAGTTCATCTTTTTATGCTCTAACTGTTACATTTGTACAATGGAAAAATTGATTTCAATTTTTTTTGTGCTAAACTTTCAAAAATTAATAAAATGGAAAAAAAAGTTTCTTTGCACATTAGGTATGGATACTCTAGTTATGTGTATATCTGCAAAAGTATTTTTATCATCAACGAAGTTGTTTTAACTTTGTCCATTTACATTTAAGGTTTAGTTTTTTGGAGCAGTTTTCTTTTTAAGTACTTCTATGTCCTATATTGATTAGACATGCATGGAAGATGTTGCTAGTGTGTTTCATTGTACCAAAAGTTTCAGATGCTGCAATTTCAGCAAAGGAATGACCAGGTTAATGTTTTTGGTGCAGGTTAACATTTTTGGTGCAGTTTTTGGTGTATCTCATTTCCGAGTAACTATAAGCCTATGTTGACCAAACTTACATGGATGATACATCTTAGGATGCATACTACCAGCCTTGCTTCGGATGCTGAATCTGACCTACATTTTCCGGTTGAGTGAACAGGTAAAAGTTTTTGGTGAAGGTTTCATTTCGAAGATACTTTGAGCCCTATAATGACCAAACTTGCATGGATGGTACATCTTAGGATGTATTCTGCTAGACTTGCTTCGGATGCTGAATCTGATCTACATTTTCCGGTTGAGTGAACAGGTTAAAGTTTTTGGTGCAGGTTTCTTTTCCAAGTTACTATGAGACATATAATGACCAAACTTACATGGATGATACATCTTAGGATGCATACTACCAGCCTTGCTTCGGATGCTGAATCTGACCTACATTTTCCGGTTGAGTGAACAGGTTAAAGTTTTTGGTGAAGGTTTCATTCTTAGCCAAATGACCAAACTTGCATGGATGGTACATCTTAGGATGTATTCTACTAGACTTGCTTCGGATGCTGAATCTGACCTACATTTTCCGGTTGAGTGAACAGGTTAAAGTTTTTGGTGCAGGTTTCTTTTCCAAGTTACTATGAGACATATAATGACCAAACTTACATGGATGATACATCTTAGGATGCATACTACCAGACTTGCTTCGGATGCTGAATCTGACCTACATTTTCTGGACGAGTAAACAAGTTAAAGTTTATGGTGCAGGATTCATTTCCAAGTAACTTTGAGCCCTATAATGACCAAACTTGCATGGATGGTACATCTAAGGGTGCATTCTACTAGGCTGGCTTCGGATGCTGAATCTGACCTACGTTTTCTGGATTAGTGGAAAGGTTAATTATTTTATACAGGTTTCATTTGCAAGTAACTTTAAGCCCTATGTTGACCAAACTTGCATGGATGATACATCTTAGGATGCACACAAATGGACTTGCTTCAGATGCTGAATTCGACATACATTTTCCAAAATAAACAACAAAAGTTATGGGTGCAAGTCTATCACCAAGAAACTATAAGGCTTATATAAACCAGTTGCTTAAATGTGTGGGATGAAAACTCTCAATCTTGCTTCAGATGCTGGATTTTAATTACATTTTCATGATGAAAACTAGTTTTTAGTTTTTATATAGGCTATTCCAAAGTATCAAAATTGCATAAATTTTGCATTTTTGGATGTACACTTTTTGTTGGTTAATTGTGTGACTTAATTTGCCTTACTTAAAGACAACACACGTTGAGGTGAGCTCTGTAATCTCTGATTACCTATGTTTATATTTTTTAACTTTCTATTTACATTATGAAGTATGACTTGTAAAAATTGTATACAATGTCACTTAGATCTATATGATAGCTTAATTAACCTTTACAAAAATGAATTAGATGATACTGGAGCTAAGGTGTATTATTACGTACATTGATGTCAGTGATGACAAACACTGCGCAAATCTGAATGATCTCATCATCGTCTCCAGGATCTCACATGAGTCCTGTTGAGATGAGTTGAGATCAGAGTGATCTCTGTGTTGACTGAGACATTTACCTGTGCTCTAGCTCTTGTACCAGTATCTCACATGAGTCCTGTCTAGATGAGATCAGCTAGCATCTACCTTTCCACTAGTGGGGAACACAGGCACCCCTAACTTCATGTATAAGAATCTTCAGTGTCTGATTATACACAAAAGTATATATAATTATAATTTTCTACTTTTAGAATACCCCTAACTTTATGTATAAGAACCTCCAGTGTCTGATTATTGATGAGGCAGACAGGATCCTTGAAATTGGTTTTGAGGAAGAGATGAAACAAATCATGAAACTTCTACCAAGTAAATAACAACATTTATTTTAATTTTTGTGATGAAAATTCACAGTATACTATGCATGGGAATATTTATTTATGGAAAAAATATATTTAATAGAATATCAAATGCTATGAAAGTTTTAAAAAATAAAGGACAAAAAACTAAATTTGATCCTTGTTAAGTTTGCTTTTTACAGACATGTGATCTGTGTAAACTTAACCCTTTCCTGTGTTTTTATATTTTCGTTGAATGAACACTCCTATAACTCCATATGATCTTTATTTTTGAAGTTGAGAAAACCTTTTCATGCCTATAAATACCTAAATATATTATATGGTGATTATTTTTTGTGTGTCAGATTAGAGAGACGATGTTATTTGAAGTGATTAATTTTTTGTATCAGAGCGGCGACAGACGATGTTATTTTCAGCCACTCAGACAAGGAAGGTGGAGGATTTATCACGGATTTCTCTAAAGAAGGAGCCGCTGTATGTGGGGGTGGACGACAGGAAGGACAGCGCCACCGTGGAGGGGCTGGAGCAGGTAAAAACAGTAACAGGGATGGAGTTAAATTAGGGATCACTGGGACAAGTAATGGGGGACGGGGTAAAAGTAGTGATCATTAGGACAAGTCAAGTAACAGTGACAGGGTAAAAGTAGTGATTTCTGGGACAAGTAAAGGGGACAGGGTAAAAGTGGTGTAGACATCTAGATGATAAATTAGTAAGGTGAAAGCTTTTGTTTCCTTTTTGTTATGGATGAGATAGCAGGCTAATGGGATAATTGTAAGTAGAAAGAAAACTAGGGCTGTCACGGGTACCCGAAATGACCCGGAACCGCGGAACACTTCATTCGGTTCGGATACGGTTCTGTTTTTCCGGACAAGTATTTGTATAGTAGTGTAGGTTTTACTATAAAAATGGCATCAAAAACGAGACATTTCTTAATACATTGCAATTAAAAGGTGATTTAAATAATATGGTACAATTGTTGTCTAATCAGGAAGCTACTTTAAACCTGTTAAAATGTTGCTATTTTGAAGATTAAATGAAAATATTCTTTTTGTTGTTGAAAATAATACAAATCATTAGCTTTTATTCCATTAATTACCCGAACCGAAATACCCGAAACCAAACCTAAAAAAATCAGAACCGACCCGACCCGAAAAATTTTGGAACCGTGACAGCCCTAAAGAAAACGTATAACTAGAAAGATATAACTGAGTCTATCATATATGGAAGAAAAGATTTCCAGACTAACATTTATTACAAAAACTTTTTTATAAATAAATTAAAAGAATTCTTTAAACTAAATAATGTATTTGTTTGTTACCAGGGTTATGTTGTTTGTCCATCAGACAAGAGATTTCTACTGCTCTTCACCTTCCTAAAGAAAAACCGCAAAAAGAAAGTGATGGTTTTCTTCAGCTCCTGTATGGCTGTCAAGTACTACCACGAGCTTCTGAATTATATTGATATTCCAGTCATGTGTATACATGTAAGTGGTATCTAGTTTTACCATGTGCTTCTGAATTATATTGATATACCTGTGATGTGTATACATGTATGTGGTATCTATTTTTTTCCACTAGATGCTAAACAATGTGATAATGTGAATTTGATATTTAAGAATATATTGAGATTTTTTCCTAGTTTTTGAGCTTAATGGAAAACATTTCATCTTTCTACTTTGTTTTGTTAATGTGACAACAGGCAGATCTGTGACCAGTAGTCAGATACTTCAATAGATAGAGCACTTCTGTAATAATCTAACAGGAGGCCCAGATTGAAAATTAAGACCAGCCTACTAAGATGAGCCCACTTTTGATCTCAGTCTCACTTTTTCAGAAGGAATTGATATTTAAAAGGAAAAGCGAGACCGAGATTAAAGTGAGTTGGTCTAAGTTTTATGGTCCCTAGGCCTGGTTCTATACAATTCTTCTAATTCAATTCTGTCTCCATTATTTCATCAGGGAGCTTTGAAATCTTCTAGGTCAGTACTTATACACCTTGTATTATTGATTGTAGGGAAAACAGAAGCAGACTAAGCGGACACAAACGTTCTTCCAGTTTTGTAATTCTAAGGAGTCTATCCTGCTGTGTACAGATGTGGCGGCTCGAGGGCTGGACATTCCCAGGGTCGACTGGATTGTCCAGTTTGACCCACCAGACGACCCAAAGGTTAATTCTCAAGTTCGATAAATCTACATAATTTTATATCTTCTAATCTACAGTGAATGGAAGAGAAAAACCCCCAGACAGAATTGATCTTTCCTGTAACAAGATATTATGAAACTGCAGTAAATTAATAATTACAAGCTTTGTTTTGTAGGAGTGCATTCATAGTTTTGTTTTTTATAGGAGTACATTCATCGTGTTGGTAGAACAGCCCGTGGGGAGGGGGGTATTGGTCACGCTCTGTTGATTCTACGTCCTGAGGAGCTGGGATTCCTGCGATATCTGAAGCACGCCAAGGTCCCGCTGAACGAGTTTGATTTCTCCTGGAGCAAGATTTCTAACATTCAGGCACAGGTAAGGGGACACTTGGTATTTGTGTTAAAGAAGATTATTTTACTTTGTAAGGCTGTTATGGATGGAATATAAAAGATTTTTTCTTGATAAACTTTTGCATAAGAATCATCAGAAAGGCCCTTTTATTTAAAAAAATTAAGGAAAAATATCAAGACTATAAAAAATAAATAAAGATTTTCTGATATTAAGTTTTAACAAAGTATGAGCTTCTCCTCCAAGCTTTTGAGACACATTTTCTTATAATTATGTACTAAATAGTCATCTTAAATGAGGAGAAAAGATAATTTGATATTTACAGAATTACAATGTACCACCATTCCTTAAGTTTTGACATTGTATAATTCTTTCCTGTCTGATGTACTATTGTGAGGTGTTTTCTCTATATTTTTTTATGAAGTTGGAGAAGTTGATAGAGAAGAACTATTTCCTACACAAGTCTGCACAGGAAGCATACAAATCTTACATCCGCGCCTTCGCCTCGCACAGCCTCAAAAACATCTACGACGTCAACAGCCTAGATCTCCAGAAGGTGGCGCTCTCATTCGGATTCCGTAATCCGCCATACGTAGATTTAGGTAAGCTTCCATATTAATGTGTTTCATAACATTCATTTGAGGGGATGAAAAATGAACAGATTCAAAATGAAAACATAAATTCGATACTGACTTTTTTTAGCATAGATAAAACAATATAAGAGTTTTTTAATTGTATTTTTATAATTACAAGTGTATTTTGTTGAATGATTTTTGTTTTCAATAATGGTTACCTTGTTTGGTGCAATTTTGAAACTCTTGATTTTATTTTTAACTTGTCATTTAAAGTTAATTTATTTTTTCTTTAAGTGTAATTTACATAATTCTCTTTTGATGATATATCTTGATCTATTCTTTAAAATTTTATGACATTTTTAGGAAGTTATTTTTTTTTTCTCTCTTCTGATGTTATTTTAATTTCTTCTGACTTCAGATGTCCATGGAAAGAAAGGAGGCAAAAACAAAGGTCACCGGGGTAAACCCGGAGGATTTGGTTACCATAGAGACAAGTTTGAGCACAAAGCAAAACTATACAAACCTCTGAAAAGTAAAGGACATGGCAAAAGGCAATTCAGTCGGTGACCCAAAAATGTTTATTGGTGACCTTGACATGATGACAACAAATCAATGACCTTTCAACTTTAATGTCATGCGAGACAGGATGAAAATATACATGTATATGCAACACTACTGTCCAATTTCAAACCAGTGACCAGGAAGTTGATTTGGATAGCAACTAAATGGTAGCTTACATTTGTAAGAAATTATGTTCTAACAATTATAGAAGAAACAATTTTTATATGAAATTTTGCAGTTCATTGTGAATTCATTGTACTAGTATGTATTTTTGATGTTAGAAGATGGATCATAAATGATAATGCAAACTTCTCCCCATTCTGAGATTGTGAAGGTTCCTAGATACCACAACACAGATACATTTTTATTGAAATTAAACGAGAAAATCTTTTTTTTTAATTTCTTCTAGATTTTGTTTCTTCAGGTTGAAAAAGAGAAATCAGTTATTCCCCTTCTTGCAAAAACATTTGTAAGGGATACATACATGTAAAACTATGTTTTGTAATGTAATTAATTATGTTATGAATAAATTTTTCAATGAAAGAGTTGTGAATAATATTTCTATTATTTAAAGGTTAATTGAGTTTCTAATTAAGAGTGTAAGAAGTACAATTCTGTTTATATCATATGCATGTAATTTGCCAAAAGAAAGAAAACTAAATGTTTGCTCCAGTAAAAGTAAGAAAGAAAATGCTTTTTAAGGTACATTGATACTCTGATAAGAGAGATAACTCTTAATAGCACAAATGACTATTATTCCTTTATAAATTAGTCAAGTTTAAATGCCTGTTTTGTCAAAACTTGTCCCGCAAGCCATGCTATAATTATTTGAATTTTATTCAGCATATATACAATTCCTTTGGAAAATCATAAAAGTTAAAGAAAATTTTCTTATGAGTGAGCAGAGGGTTTATGAACCTTAAGTTGTTATCTGTAATAAGACTAGGATTTTCTCATAAATCTTGTTTACAGTACATTTCTTCAAAGGAGCAAAACCAGAGATCACTCAAAACACCAGAGTTGAAATCAGATGCCTGTCCAATTGAGAGCTGTCTGTTATAATATAGTTAAATAAATTTAATGATTAGAAATGATTGTACTGTATAAAGCATTAAAATGTCATAGATTTTAATGATCATGCTCAGAAGTGTAATTTAGCAATGTCAGCTGGAAGCAGAGTAAACAAAAACTATTGCTGGCGAAAATTTTGTTTCGCTTATAAATAAAATTCCCAATAGGCAACTCAAGAAAATAAGGTTTAGCAAAAATACATTGATCTACAGTCCTGCTTAGCTCTATATCAATCCTGGCAGAGGGTCGGGCTCTTTCCCTTTGTATTAAGCCCATCGTCTGGCACATATGATACTCTTTGATGGAATTCTTAAGAAAAGCAAAGTTCTGGTACCATCTTAAAGATTTTGCATTGAAAACATTATTACTTTCAAGACACAATTTTCAATAATATATTTTTTTTTTACATCACCAGTAATTTGTCAAGCTCAACAAATAATAATAAGATTAGTTTTGAAAGATGACAAGAATAACGAAAGGGAGGATTCTGTTTTACAAGATTTCTATATTGTTTTCAATATTTAAGTATTGTAGAATTAGTTTTTAACTGAAACAAGAGGCCCAAGGGCCACATCGCTCACCTGAGCAATTGGCTAGGAAAAAGCACATATATCAGATCAGAACTGAATATTTACTGAGTGGGGGGGGGGGGGGCTTGATTTTAACTCCCAGGGGGTCATGATTTGAACAAACTTGAATCTTCACTTTCTGGGGATGATTCCCTATAAATATCACTAAGCATGGCTTTGAAGTACTTGAAAAGAAGATTTTAAAAGGTTTCCCTATATATTCCTATGTAAAACTTTTATAAGCCATTTGGCCCCACCCTTCCCCCGGGGGTCATAATTTGAACAAACTTGAATCTAAACTACCTGAGGATGATTCCACATTAGTTTCATCTTTCCTGTCTCAATGGTTCTTGAGAAGATTTTTTTATATAAATTTCTATGTAAAACTTTGATCAGCCATTTTGGCCCCACCCTACCCCAGGGGGTCATGATTTGAACAAACTTGAATCTACACTATCTGAGGATGAAGCTATATGAGCTTCATCTTTCCTGGCCCAATGGTTCTTGAGAAGAAGATTTTCAAAGATTTTTCCTACATATTCCTATGTAAAACTTTGATTGGCGATTTTGGCCCCACCCTACCTCCGGGGGGTCATGATTTGAACAAATTTGAATCTACACTACCTGAGGATGATTCCACATGAGTTTCATTTTTCCTGGTTCAGTGGTTCTTGAGAAGAGTTTTTTTAAAAATGCCATTAATTTTTCTCTAATTCATAATTATCTCCCTTTGGAAAAGGGCTTGGCCCTTCATTTGAACAACATTGAATCCCCTTTACCTAAGGATGCTTTGTGGCAAGTTTGGTTGAAATTGGCCCAGTGGTTCTTGAGGAGAAGATGAAAATGTGAAAAGTTTACAACAACGACGACGACGACAGACATTGGACAAATTTTAATCAGAAAAGCTTACTTAGTCTTTGGCTCAGGTGAGCTAACATGGAAAGTGATCTTCATCTTTCTTAATATAAAATTAAGGTCATTCATCCTCTTGTAAGATCATATAAAATGACTCTTTTTTACTTTTTTTGATTTAAACCAAGCCTCTGCACTCACAAATTCTCAGAAATTAACAGTGGTGTTAAATGAAATAGCCAGGAAAACTGCACACTAGTTTAGAGAGCAGGACAATAAAAATATCATTGATAGTCCATTTATAGAACTTTATTAATTTCTGTTATTTTCAGAAAACTCCTTTTTAGTCTTTGATTGTCTAAAAAACTTAATTGTTCTGTAGTAAGTTTAAAAAACAGAAAAGGTATTTTCATACGCCACAGTTCTGTTAAATATACTGACCCTTCTAGATTATAAAAAAAACTTTTAAATTCCATACATCTAAGTATATGAAATATCAATCTCCCATGCAGAGTTGTCGTTCGTTCCTCTCTCAGACACCTCTGCAATGGGCTCACGTCAAGATTTTTGACATACCGTATAAAACATGATATTTGCAGGATTTTTTAAAATAAAAATAATAGTTCTGGATTTATTGAGTAAATATTAACCTCAAAACTCAGACATAACCATAGAAATTGAATTATAATGAATTAAAATAAACGCACTATTTCCTGTGTTTATCACTGTCACCCCTACTAATGTTATTGTGATTTAAATTCAAGACACGTGGTTTAGGTTGATCTATTCAAAGGTTATAGGGTAGAACCGGTTTTAGAAATAAAATTGGCAGTAAACATGATATTGCTATAGCCTGTTTCTTTTGAAAATATGTCCTGTAATAAATGTTTCCAGACCTTTCTGAAAGACTTTCATGATTTTCAACAGAAAAAGGCTTAAGGAGGGGGTGTTAAAATAACAATATATTTTATACTTTTTGAGCACAAAATTAGAGCTCACTAGTGACCGATTCGCTGGTAAAAATGTGCATTATCACCTACACTGACAAACCTTTGTTTGCCTAATATGGCTATTGTTATAAATGCGCACAGAGAATCTTACCACGAGCAACTGACCAATCGTTGAATGAATAACAACGTTTACGCCGACTATATGTTTACATTTTACTTCGAGCACGTAGTTAGGTCAATCTAAGATCATGTTAATGGACTGCAAAATAAAAAAAAATGATCTTACGAACAAAATACAAAGATAAGAAGCTATGAAAGATGATACGGGCGTTTTTAATTTGCTGTAAATTGGAAAAAAAGTTTAATGATATGTAGTTTGTGTCTAGTTCAGAACACCAGCTCTTCAAGGGTAAGGAAAACGAGCAGCATCTCTTATGCATTTAAATGGACAAAACTTTGTTTACGTTCGTGATCACGTGTTTTGGCCAGGGAATCCACCTGAAAATTGTATTCACCGATAGTACAACAAAGGAATTAATACAGACGCAAATCGCTTTTGCTGTATGACTTTCAGGAATCTAGACTTCCGCCGTTTATTTAACAAATTATTTTTTTGTCCTGATGAGCATGAAAATAATATTTTTAAAAATGCTTTTCATTTACCATAAGATTTTCCTCTTTTTCAAGCGTAAAATTCCTGTAGTATTCGTAGTAACCCATAATGCAATACTCATTCAGCTGATTGGTCAGTAAAATCATGCTGGTGCCTCATTTGCTAATCTGACGCCAAAAGGTATAGTCCCGGTTCCCATGCAAAAATATTTGTCCAAAAAGAAATTTTAATTCATGACTGCAGAAAATTGTTTTATAAAGAATACTTATTTAAGTTTGAATGAATGTAAAAGAGATCGATTGATTGAAGTACATTTCTACAGACATTATCAGCTGATTCTAGGGTGGTGAAAACTGAAACGCAACATAACTTTTCTGTTTACCATGCCTCCACGTGCTAGTCACTTCCTAGCCACATTTCCGTGAATAATTTACCCTATCTCGCTGAAGTCTCGCTATCTCTCGCCAGAGCCACTGCCAGAGCTACTCTGAACTCATCGGGTTTTATAATTTGCAGAACACCGAAAAATAAAAGGTTCCGAACACATTAGTAGGGGTGACTGTGATATACGCGAGCCAACGACAGAGGTGAATGTATGAGCCGATGGTAGAGAGTGATGAAATATATGCAAATATACTTTGAATATTTTATTGAGCCAGAAACCAGAGAAGAATCCCTCATTAAACAGGCGTGTTATTTACTGATTTATTATATAAATTAATATTCCATTTACAAATAATTTATGCAAAACACCAAGTACAAGTTCAACAAATAAAAAAAGTATTTTAAAGGAGTTCTTTATAGACAAAAAATTCATATCCAAACGTGAATGATTTTTTTTTTCGAAGCGTTCAAATCTTCACATTGAAACGTTGGTTTTTTGGGTCGGTCAAAAGATTAATTAGCAATTTATGTGGGTAACTACCTCACACCTTAGGTTATACCAGGTATGTGCTTAATTAAATAGTAAGATTTAATTGTCGTCCTTCTGGAAATATTTGTACATTGTGACAGTAGAACTATGCTCACTCCCGACCATTAATATGTGCTCGCCATCAATACAGATAGCACGTGGTTTGTTCGGACATTGACCTGGAATCAGCAGAAATGACAAAAATTTGCCATCCATATCCAACAGGTGGACACTAGAGTAATTTCTAAGCAAGGAAGAATATATATTACACACCAAGATTTGTCCCAGCTTGTCTTTACAGACTCCAGTGGGGCGAAATCCAGACTGAGAGTGGTGACCAGAGTAAGAGAAGCGGTACTCTCCTGATGCAGTCACCACCACAACCTTATTGGCATTAGAGTCTGATGTACAGATGTCTCCGTTTATGTTCTCTGTGATATAAGTTATACTCTTGTAAAGATTGTTTCCTTGATCACCCCTCTGGATCACCTGAAGTTTCTTCCATTCCTTGCTGTATCTGGTCACATTTGATTCTTTATCTTTATTCATTCCCACAAGTATGTCTCCATTAATGTGGGAGGAGTGAACCGCCCCCGGTTCCCAATCCTCAGTGAAAATTACTCTTGTGGTGTTAATGTCGCTGTTCACTCAGCAGATTGCTTTACTTTTGGCCGTAGTAAAGAGTAAGTGGCCCTCAGATGTGACTGTATGGTAACCTATTACATCTACTACGTTAGTGGATATTTTCTTTAAAATATTTCCCTCTGTGTCATAGAGGATTAGATTCCCCGAAACGTCACTGCCCCAGAACTTATTTGACGACAAAAGAGATAGATGATTCATCGGTGTACCTATGTTAATTTTTCTCTCTTTTTTCAGATCTAATTTAACTGAACGAGCAACTTGAATATCGCAAAGCGATTTCATCAGTCTGCCGTCACCTTCTTGCTCTTTACTAACAGGTAGAAGTCTAGGACTTAAATTAATTGCTTCTTTGTATTGAGAAATAACCAACTCCTTTTCTGGCCAATTTATTATTCCAAACTGTTTTTTTATCTCCGTTTTATCCTCTGTGCCTTTGATAAATGTCGGTAACGTTGGGTGATTTGTTATAGATTCTTGCATGACTTCCAGTGTTTGTGATGAAAACAAATGCTGATGGAATGTTAAAAAAGTGGATGGCATTATTAATGCAGTTTCCATCTTGTTTTTTAGTTCGTCAACTGAGGCTTCCATTTTCAACTTGTCTTTAAATGATTCTTCTAAATATGATCTTTTTATTGCACCAAGCTCAGCAATCTTTTCGTAGAGAACGGTATCCACAATTTCTTTCATCTCCTCAGCCCTTTGGATCATCGCTGATTTCGTCAGATTAAATCTTTCCTCATATTTTTCTGTTTGTTCTGTCTGGGGATTTGATTTTTCTTCACCGATCTTTGTCAGTTGATCTTTGCATTGCTGCAGTCTTTCATTATAGACAACCTATAGATCAGAAGTCTGGTGATTTCTGTGATCTGAAGTAGAGCATTTGGAACAAATAGGGGCCCTGCAAGAGTCGCAGTAGATTTCAAGATCTCTTGTTGGATGAAATGGACATTTTTCTGCCGGCAAAAGTATTCTCCTTTTCATATAAAGAACAACTTCATGGTGTCTATTGTTCTCTTCTTTGAGATGGACGTCTCTGTGCTGATCAGACAAGCTCTGTTGGCAGTCATTGCAATAGAGGTTGGAGCTCTCTTCGCATATTGTGCACACCGTGTAATGTTCAGCAGGTCCAGATTTATTGGCGCTATCTTCAGCCATATTTTACGAGGAAACTGCATTTAAAAAAAATCAATGAACCAGAATATCTAAGATTGTAAACAATTAATATTAGATGTAAAATATAAATTATTCTTTTTCAAAAAAAGTATCATACAAGAGCTTCCATAATTTTTCAAGCAAGCCACATAGTCACAGGTTTCTGAGGAATATTGTAATACAAATTTTACAATCAGTTTTATTTTTTTAAGAAGATCCCCAACTATTGTGAGGCACCAAAATAATTTATTTTATTTTAGATTGGTTAAATAAAGTGAAATATATATACTGTGTAAAAAGTTACTTATATACATATATTATGTTAACAGATAAGTATAAATTGTAAGTATTTTTAATAAACGAGAATAATATGCAAGAATTTAACAGGAAATAAATAATTTTAATTTAATCAATCCATGTGTCCTCGATCTGGCAAACCTTGGCAGATGACCAACTTGAAGATAAGACAATCACATTTTCAACGAGCAGTCACTTTATCTTCCTTGTTCATTAAGCAACTTGTCGAATAATTTTAAGCGTTTATCAACAAATATAAAAAGTAACGTAGATAATTTATAGGGCGCGGTTTGCATGTCACATGGCATTGCAAAAATTTATTATTGTCCATTTTACTCTATTTTCTCAATAGTATTGTCTATAACAAGATTTGTAATGCATAATTTGTATTACTTGCAATGTACATGATGTAAAACGTTTTACTTTCATTTTGTATATTTTTAATTGTAGTGGATGTTTAGCATTTACATTTCTCCTCTTATATCATTAAAGATTTTTTTCTCTCTTATACTATATATTTGTATAAGGAGATAACAAACAGTATTCAGGCTCAAAAAATCCTTCAAACAATAAAAATCAGGAGCAGAGCAAACACGGACCTCCATAAACATCAGAGGTGGGATCAGGTGTTATGAACATGCGACTGTTATATAAGTCGAAGTGTGTATTGAAAAATCTTTTAATAAGTCTGTGAATTACAAATTATCGGTTTTATATAATAGTGTATTACATGTTTGAACTGTTTTGATGGAGAAGAATTCTGAATCTTGTCAAGATTATCAATAAGGTAAAATATTTATAATACAGATAATCAATCCTTTTTATCTTCAGACAATGACTAAGTAGTAACTCTAAAAAAGTTGAGCATCTCTTTCCGACCGGTTACAGCTGCCGCGTGTGTTCGACCTTGTCATGATTGGGAAATGACGGGAAAATCCGTCGTCAATTCAGTGTGTAAAGAATGGCCAAACAATTATTATGAAAAACATCCATCATTTTAGTGCAATTGCTGATACAATGTAAGGTAAAATAATGATTTTAATCAAGACTGTTGGTGATTTGATCCATCAACTTGTTTGTCAATAACTCACCTCGTTTTAGACATTGTTCGTATGTACAGCTAGCCCTTACGTATCAAATCAACTGAAGCATAAAACCCTATATGCAGGAGATAATTCAGAGTATATTGCTACATAAGTTAGGGATAAGGTCAATTGAAAAAGTTATCATGTTTACAATAAAGCTTTGTTTTTAGGTTACCATTAATGTTTTTTTTCCTGGTAAAATATCCATGCATCAGACTCTGTGGTAGTTTTTATTTCAAGCTCATTGGGAAATATCGACTCGACATATGAATGAATGAATGAATTGATTGATTGATTTACGTCCATTCGAAAATTTTAAACTCATATAGAGCCGTCACTAGGCACTCAGGGCCATTGAGCATTGCCAACGCCTGTTGTGACACGGGGGCCTTATATTTTAAGGTCTCATCCGAAGGACATGCGACTTTCACTTTAACGTGCCGAGCTCATGGCGAAGGAACAGTTGCTACCCATTTTATCGACTAAGTCAGTCACGGCCAAGATCCGAACTCACGACCTCCCGATCACGGAGCGAGCGTTCTACCGACTGAGCTACCGTGAACAGTAATGCAAGAATGGAAGAAAAACTGTTAATTGATAATACGGCGTCGGTTTTTCTTAGTGTCGAGTTGAAGTCAACAACAAGTGTTTTCTTCTTCTCATGTATAAGATATTGAATATATTCTGCTTCATATAAATACAAAACTATTTCTGCTTAGAAAGGGGTGCAATTGGTATCTTTATAAATTCTGCGAGATTGTATGAAAAACCACATACTAGATATTATCAATCTGAAACTCAAACATCTTTTAAAAGTCAGCCTCAGTATACTTGTGTTTATAGTCAGAATGTTTTTAACAAAAGGATGTCAAAAAGCCTGGACATGATTCAACATTATAACAGAAAGAAATCTTAAACGTTTTGTTAACCTGTACATGATCCTCAAGGTTGACATGAGGATTGAATTTTTTCTACATAAGACTAAAAATATCGTTAGTAAGGGATGGTAAGTGGTTATGCGTGAAATGGACTGTCCTCCTTTCCATACTTTTTTTTTCTAAAAGTAATTAATTTTATTTTTACCTTTTTATTAGTCCCCTACCGGTGAACCGGGGGGACTATAGGTTTCCTCTGCGTCCGTCCGTCCGTCCGTCTGTCTGTCTGTCTGTCTGTCCGTCTGTCTGTCCCCGTCAGTCTGTCCCACTTGGTTTTCCGCACTTTTTTTCTAAACGCTTGCAGATATTGAGCTGAATTTTGGTATGTGAGTGTCTCTCAATGAGTTACAGATCAAGTTTGAAGTTCGCTTCGCTTCATTGATTTTTGACAGAATTATGGCATTTTGAATATTTTGCATAATAAGATCGAGTTCGAACTGCGCTAACTTCCGATTGTCGTCAAAAATATGAAGCGAGGAAAAGACGGTGGAGAAATGAGCTGAATTTTCGACTTAATGTGGATTATTTTATTAGTTTTAAGGCATTTACAACTTAAAAATCTCGCAGTTTTACCTTGGACATGACTTTTGCATTATATAAAATGACATCCTGAAGAAAAAGGGGAACCCGGTAGGGGACATGTATTGCTTATGCAATACTCTCAGAATGCTTGTTAATTTAAAAATATAAAGCTGATCAAATGTTAAGAGGCTAATTCCCGGTTTATAGTCTTTAACATTCTTGCAATCAAATTTGAAGTTTGAAGGATTTTCTTCTGTGAAGGGAGAGGTTTCTAAAGAAGAACAAACAAAATACAGATGATTGATGTTTTTTGTAGGTGTGCGAAAAGGTTTTGGATTTCTTATTTTGAAAGGAGTCGTAAATACTTTAGTAACTCTTTTTAAAAAATAAACCCGATTCCAAGAATTCCTCTTACATTTTATCTCTTACATTTGATCAATACATAGAGCACCGTTGGGATCGGGGTTAGAATAGGTCCTCAGTACCCCTTGCTTGTCGTAACAGGCGACTAAATGGGGCGGTCCTTCGGATGAGACCGTATAAACCGAGGCCGCGTGTCACAGCAGGTGTGGCACGATAAAGATTCCTCCCTGCTCAAAGGCCGTAAGTGCCGAGCATAGACCTAAATTTGCAGCTCTTCACCGGCAATGGTGACGTCTTCATATCAGTGAAATATTCTGGAGAGGGACGTTAAACAGTATACAATCAATCAATACATCGATCCATAAATCGACACATAAAACTATCTTTCTAGTTATAGTCTACTTGAACGATGCCCTTTAACTTACTGGGTAAATCTAGAGAATTCACATGTGGCATTAATATGCTATTCCTTTTTTTTTTTTTTTTAAAACTTTGAAACACTAAATCTTATAAAACAGATTTGGACGTAGTGCATAAAGTTTAAGAGTAATGATGCAAAACAAATCATGTGTAAAAAATGCATCTGTTACAGCTTGTGATTTATTTAGAGTTCATATCAAAGAAACCCCAAAAGAGGAAAATAAGATACCTTACCTTTCTGTGGTTAAACTACGGCTGCTCTTGGTTGCTGAGGGATTGTGTTACAAATCACGTGATCACTCTACAGTATCTTAAACTTCTTAACGTTACTTATATTGTAAAGTACCTGCTTAATGTTAATGGGAAACAAAAGAAATTTCAAGTGCATGAACAAGTATTTGTCCTGTGTCACTTCTGTTTAAATATCATTTTGTCTACAATGACGTAAAAATTTCACTGATTACCTTATTTATCTAAAAATGTCAAGTTTATTTCCATTATAAAAAAACTACAAATTCAATGGCAAAGTCCATAAGAGGGGGAGGGGGGGGGGGGGCTGAAATAAAAAATGTCACAAAGTTTGACACATTTGTTTCACATTTGACTATTTTACTTAAAAAACATAAATGGTAACCTAAGAATCAGGCTTCATGATAAACTTAATGACTTCAACTTTTTAATCGTAAACTTACCTGCCCTATTTAGCAATATACCTTATCACCTGCATATTATATAGGGGTTTATGCGTCTCAGTTGATTCGATATACAATAGCATGCTCTACGTGCGATCAATTTCTAAAAAGAGACAGACTATTGACAAAGAAGTTGATGAAATAAGAAAGATGAACAGTCTATCATTAAAGCCGATCACTTCTCGTAAAAGGCTTTGTTTGTCATATTTCTCTTCAATCGCCGCTACATCTACAACCCCGCAGACCCCCTAACAGTTCAAAGTATATCTGTTCAGGTTTCACTTGTGTAGACAATCATTTTACATTTCTCGGTTGGGACGAATTAATTATCAAATTTTACGCATTTCCGCACCAGGAGAAAAGTAACATCAAATGTAGATCAATGCATGAATTAAAAATACAAAAAAGTCACAAAAACAATGAATAAACGTACAACATCCGACAACACAAAAGGACCACGTCGTCAACGATTTTCATGTGTGCAGTTGTGTGTAACAAAATCGAAGGGTTTATATATCTGTGTGACTATGCCGATCATGACAGGGAGCACCTGATAGGTGTGACTGTTCACCAGGGGATGCTCACTCCTCCATGACATGTGACTCTGGACACCTCTGATGTTGAAAAGGTCTGTTCCCTCTGCTATTGATTAGGCTAGTATTGTTTAATGCCATGGAATTTTGAGCATGAATAATAAATAATATTATTCAGGCATGCTTCGTTTAATTTGTGATATATTTTTCAAACAGGAAGTCTTATTAACCTCCAAAACTGGAGAGTCTCATTGTATCGCGGCATCGAAAAAGATGGATGTTTAGCGTTGTCACGACTCTCAAGGTACAATTTTTATTTTTATTATTTAATTTACGATGTAATTTACATGAAAGCTAAGCAATACTACAAACATAAGTTTTTGAAAATATGAACTTTATAATGTTTTTACTAGATAATAAAATCAAAGGTCCAAATAAAATAAAAACGGGAATGGAAATATGTGGGCTAAAATTAGGTTTTATTTGAATTTATTAATTTATTTTCCGATAGATGCTCCAAACTTTTTAATCATCACAAAAGTCAACAATCAGATGACAGACAGAAATTGAAGTCCATCAACAAAAAGGATATCAGCTTTTTATCCTTATATATATATATGTGTATATAAAATTACCGTGATATAATGGAACCCGCAATATAATGAGAAATGAGGATATAGACTTTTGTAGAGTCTACAGCATAAAACAACCCCCTCCCGAAGCACAACAGGCATGCGTCATTGCTTGATCAGGATTGTCAATTTCAATTTCACACTGTTAATAGACATCAATCTTACCTTTCAACGTCAATCATTTATCACATGGAATAATTTTTTTTTGCCTATATAAGCCCTACTTTACGTTTCTCCCTCTAGTTGAGCGAATATCGACGTGACGCAGTCCAAACAAACTGACGTCATTTCGTAATGGGCTGTTTTTCAGAGAGAAAAAATATGGAAACTAGTTTTCGTAATAAATTATCCAAAACGCATCGCGTTGGTCATATTGCCAGTTAATAATTCTAATTTAACACGCATTATTTACATATACCAGGTAGTCACTTATTTTGTGAAAACAAACAAAAAATATACAACATTTTAATCCGAGGGACATTACAGCTTGTGAGTGTCTGTCTACTGTCATCCACAGGTATTAATTTTTATCATGACTGTTGATCTGACCAAAAGTTAAAAAAAGTTAAAAACATGGATTTAATTTCTGGCTGTTGTCGCATAAAATTGCTCTAATTTGTGATTTCTGTCTTAGTTATCTCAAGGTATGTCACTCGTGAAATTACTCATATTGTTGTAATGACATTTATTACATAAACAATGCAGTTAACAAATACACAAATATACAGAGATAACGAGCGCACACAGCAGCAAGTTATTATATATGTGAGGCGCACACAGCAGCCCCTGACCGCACACAGCAGGTCGAAATAGTTCACAAAAGTTACCAGTGGTTTCTTACACGGAATGGCGTCTTCTTCTACTGCTACACATGAACGCGTGACGTCATACGCACACATACACAAAAGGGGTACAACACGGGAATACATATAGGGGCTCGGCACAGGATACAAATTGTACTACATTCCCCCCTGTTCCAAAGAAATGATCCTATCCTGGACCTGAAATAAAAACAAATAATGCGGCAAGTCACCGCATTGCAAGAAATACACAATATATATACAACAGACATGAAGCAACATGAATTAAATATGGTAAAGGCATTTAAGGTTGTGAAGGGTTTGTGTCAGGACGTCAGACACTATTGCCCTCTTAAGTTTCGCAACCCTCTCAGCCACTGGTAAAAGAGCCCATGGGGTGTTGACATCCATGCGGGAAGTGGGTGGCAAGTATGGAGCATCTGACTCCAGCAAAATCCTGTCCATGGGCATTGCACAGAGAGCGTCCGCGGTTTCAAACAATCCCAGGAGACTAGAAGTGAAACCAAACTTTACATTTGGTAAACGCTACATCCATGCAATGGCTTCTTCTGGGCTCCCAATGTAGCAGTGCCTATGGATCCGCAAGTCTATCAGACCCAACTCCTCCAAAAGAGCAAGGAATTCTCTGGCTGCGTACCCGGAATGGAGGTCTCGGCAGTGGACTACGAGTGTGAGGTCCATGTCCTTCGCCAAAGGAAGAATTTCTCTAAGAAATGCTCGTTGGCGGGCAATCGATTCCTTCTTGCAGTGCTTTAGGCTTTGGCATCTTGGACTGCAGCGGCAAGATGTTGTAAAGTCTAGGCCAACCTTTCCTAAGCCGACACAACCTGGTTCCTTCAGAAGTTCGCGCAGCAGTTCCATGGAATAATCGCTCTTCACAGTGTGAGGGTGGAGCCCAAAAGTTAAGTAGATCCTTGGATCTCTAGCCTGCTGGCGGAATCGTTCCCAATGATCTGGGAAGACGTAGTTGGCAATGGCCACACTAAGTCGGAAATCAGGGTCATCGAACTCATCTTCCAATGCAGAGAAATCCCTCAACCTAGTCCGTGAAAGCAGGATGTCTAGATGGAAGTGGGAATCCCCAAAATGTTGTTGTAGTAGGTCTGGCCTGCTAAGGGAAAGAACTGGTGCCACCAAGTTTCCAGAAAAAGTCAGCTCTTGCATGGTCGCAATAACATCCCTCTGCCCTGCAGGTAAAAGGAGCTGTAAAAGATTACATATGATTCTCCAGTGAACGAGTGAAGCCACAGATGTCGGTGGATGAATGGAAAAACATTGAGACCGGGCAAGACCATTAGCATCCTCATACAGGTTCAGCAACTCGACTTCGCCATCAGTAAAGTCTGATGCTGCAGGATTTATTGTCTCCACATACAGATGCTTCTCAACCACAAAACAGAGAAGGTTGTCCAGAGACCCCAGTCCAATATGATAACATATCCTGTGTAGCAAACCATTCATGAGAGTGACCCAACGACGTCTATTTGCCTCATTAAACAAAGCACCCTCGGGATGGCCCTCAGCATTAATATGCTTTGCTCTAAGGAAACACTGCTTCCCTTCCTGGACTCCACATTTCCAACATGCTGTCAAAGCTCCAAAGTACCATGGAAGGTGAGAGCGCAAGACATGGGGCTTTATAGCTGGTGTCCTACCAGTGCACAGCGGACACTTCCGTCCGGGCAATATCTTTGGTTTCTCTGGCACTTTCACTGAATCATCTTCCATGTCTTCTTCATAGTCTGGCACGAACAATGCTTCTTCCATATAGTCAGACATATTGCTGTACAAAAATAGAAACTACTAATCATTACATCATGAAATAATATACAAGTATTAGTACCTTATTGAGATAAATGACCTCAATAAGTTTGACTTATGCCTGCCTGGCACAATATAACCAAACAAAAAGAGCACAACTTGTAATTATACATAATCTTCCAGATGAGCAGGTTTCTTGATCTTTCTTCCTGCTCTGGTTGTATCTGTGGATCCTAAATCTGGATTCTTCTCAATGTCATCAACAATATTCTGATTGTTTGTCTCTGTAGATTCATCTTGAATTGCCTCCATGTCATCAACAATGTCCTGCTCATTTGTCTCTATCACAGTATCATATACTTCACCTGAATCCTCCAGGCTGTTGTCTGTACCAATTAATTTGTTCTCCCCACTATCAGCATCAAGTGATCTCTCATCCTCTTCAAAATACTTGTTTCTCAGCCGCCGAATCCACAATGGCAATTCCCTGTCATTACATCTCTTTAATTTGTCATGATGAAGAGTGGACTGTCTCTCATTCTGATCTACAACAGTGTATAATGGTGGGTCAGCTGAAACGACAAGGTAAGGGCCCTTCCATGGCGACAGTAACTTGCGACTCTGTCCTACTGTAGTAGCCTCATTAAGCCTGTAGACGACATCTCCTTCTGTGTATGTCCTCTCATTTAGCTTCAAATCGTACAGGCGCTTCTGTCTCCTCTGCACGCTGTCGAGTTGCTTCCTCGCAAACGAGTGTGCCTCCATCATGACCTTGTCCAGATGCTTCACCCATTCATCTGGCTCATATTCAGTCAATGTAAGACTTGCCATTCCAGTCACAATATCAAGAGGCAAAATAACTTCACGTCCAAGCATGAGTCTGTTGGGCGTATATCCTGTAGAACGGTTCTCGGTTGAATGAAGGGCCATAACTAGTAGAGGTAAGTCTACATCCCAAGTTCTTACCTTGCCCTCTATGTAGCAACGAATCATCTGAAGAAGGACCCTTTTATAGCGTTCAACCTGTCCATTTGAAGATGGGTGGTAGGGTGTTGTCCTTGTCTTAGATATCTGTAAGGCATTACACAAAGCCTTAAACAGGTCCCCATCAAAATTTCGACTTGATCTGTATGGACAGTGAGTGGACATCCAAATGTCACAATGAAGTGGAGGAGGAACTCTTTGGCTATTAGCTGAGCAGTTTGATTTGGAAGTGCGACACAATCAATCCACTTTGTAAATTGATCTATCATAACAAGGACATACACATTTCCTCGTTCGCTAGGTGTAAATGGGCCAAGAATGTCCAAATGAACACGCTCCATTGGGTACCCTGCATGATGTCGCTGAAGTGGGGCTTTGGGCTTGACTGACAACTTCTTATTTTTATTGCATACAGAGCACGATTGGACATATTCTCTGCAGTCTTGGGACATACGATACCACATGTACTGATGTTTGACTCGCTGCAATGTCTTATCCTGGCCTACATGCGCTGCTGACTTCATATCATGGCAACCGTAAAGGACTTCTTCTTGCATGGTTTTTGGAACCAGTAAGCATAGCTTCCGGTTTGCTTCATCTCGCCAGGCATAGAAAAGTATCCCGTCCTTTATGAGCAACTGACTCTTGCACATCCAGTATGACCTCGAGGCTGGGCTACTCAGAAGCAAGTCATGTGATGTAGGGGGTTGTTCTAGCCACTGGAACAATACTGATAAATCTGCATCTTCATGTTGTAGTTTTGGTACCTCTTCCTTTGTTTTTGTTTCTGTCCAATTTACTTCAAAGGAAAGATCATCTGTTAGCACATCAGTGTTGTACTCTACTCTCAACACTTCTGCAGTTTGTCCTGGCTCAGGGTTAATGACCTTGACAGCTAGCGGTACTACGTTATCTACATCCTCTGAGAATCTCTCCCACTGTTGACAGGCTTTGGTACAGTAATTGCAACCTCCACAAGGCAGTGATTCCAAGTTGGAACCTGCATTATAACAATCGCAAGCCTCCAATCTATCAGGAATACGTGATAAGCCATCTGTATTGGAATGCTTGTTCCCATTACGATGAACAATTTGCATATCAAACTGTGAGAGTTCCTCTATCCAGCGAGATAACTGCCCCTCGATGTGTCGAAACCTAAACAACCAAACTAAACTGTTATGGTCAGTTCGTATCGTGAAGCGTCGTCCCAAAATATAATGACGAAAATGACGACAGAACTTCACAACTGCCAGTAACTCCTTGCGTGTTGTGCAATATTTCCTTTGTACTGGTAACAGAACATGGCTGGCATAGGCTATAGTCCGTTCCTTGCCATCTTGCAACTGTATAAGTTCAGCTCCTATTGTTGCGTCAGATGCATCAGTGTCTAAAATAAAGTCATCAGTAGGAGTTGGGTAAGCGAGACAGGGTGCTGAGGATAGTGCTGTCTTCAAGTGTTCAAATGCCTCTTGGTGCTCAGTGGTCCAGTGAAATTGCTTTGCCTTTGAACCTGTTAGCTCATACAGACACTTTGAAATCCCAGCATATCCTTGTACATGTTCTCGATGGTAGTTAGCATAGCCAAGGAAAGATTCAACTTCTTTCTTATCTGTAGGGACAGGCCAGGACCGTACAGCATCCAATTTGGCTGGGGAAATCCTTACACCTTCTCGAGTAATTCGCTTTCCTAAGAACTCACATTCAGTCTGGAATAAGAAGCACTTTCTTGGCTTGAGCTTCAGGTTATATCTGCTAAACCTCTCTAGGACTACAATGAGATTGTTCAAATGTTCTTCAAAGGACTTGCCGAGAACATTAACATCATCTA